GGCAGCCCCAGGGCCATTACAGCCTGGTCAACAAAATCAGCTTTGACAAGTGCAAGAACTTCTTTGTGTGTCAAGTGTGCGGCTTTCGCAGCAGGCTTCACACCAATGTCAATCGCCATGTGGCAATAGAGCACACCAAAATATTCCCTCATGTTTGTGATGACTGTGGGAAAGGCTTCTCAGGCATGTTGGAATATTGCAAACACTTAAACAGTCACCTGACGGAAGGCATTTATTTGTGTCAATATTGCGAATACTCGACAGGACAGATTGGAGACCTCAGAAGTCACTTGGACTTCAGGCATTCGGCCGAACTGCCTCACAAGTGCACCGATTGTTTGATGAGGTTTGGTAATGAAAGAGACCTTTTGAGTCATCTTCAGATACACGAAACTGCTTGATTGTGGTTGTGTGAATGTGCTCACCTGTCCTAGAATAATAGCATTTCAGAGTTTCCATCAGCATAAAAAGCAGCTGAGCCTCAGGATGCTGTATTTCATCAAACTTTTAATGCATAATAGATAACATGTACAGTTGTCTGGAAGCATAGCATTAAATTCTATGACAGAAATAAACATAGCCATGCAGACAAATGTGTATTATTTGTGTTCATGTTCTACTTAAAAATCAAAACAGAACTTATTTAGATATGTGCCCTCACCCTTGACATGAGTTTGTCATCTGAGCTTACTTCATGCGTGTGATGAACTTTCTACCTCACAGATTTCCTAGTATTTGCTTTTATTTATAGAAGCATTGGACTTTGAATGTCATTCTCACACACAAAGCCAATTACATATATTCCCTTAAATCTAGCCATTAAGAGTTCTTTCGATTTGCAAGTATTTCAGTCTAATGATAATATTTGAAATCCCATCTTTGACTAAATGAGGGAAATAAAAAGAGAATGAACAAATAAATAAGCAATATAGCTAATGAATTTTAAATACTGTTCCAAAAATCATATCATTTTTACTTCGTGATTCATTACTCTGTCTCCTCGATTTAAACACAGAAGTATATTTCTTTCATTATTGTTTTGTACCCACAGTATCATTTTTCCATTAATTTTATTATAAATATCCCATATTCAGTATAAATCAGTCCTGAGAGAAGAGAACCAATTAGCCTAAAATATTAGCAGCAGCACAATACAGTACTACTAGACACACCTGTTCAGAAGCAGGTTCCTCTTAGTTAGACGGGATGCATGCCCCAGGATAGACGTATTCTTATCCAATGTTTTAATTTCCAAGCCTATTGTTAAAGCAATTTAAAGTTTTTAAGAATGAAACATTGCTATGTAACGCATCAGGACATTAATATTAGTTACTGAGTGAACCATTTCTAACAACCTGTTTATGCTGAGCTATTTTGGCAGTTCTGAATACTGTGGCCCCAAAATATCCTTCATTCTAATGAAAGGAACATCTAACAATTGCCAAGGGTACATATAGTAGCTGTGGAGAGTTAATTCTCTTGTTCAATGGTTAATGAGATTTTATTCAGTCAAAAGTCCCCTATCTGCCCAATTTCTATAAAGTAGATTTGCAGTTAAATATTTTTAGGTTTCAACATACTGTATATATTTGGATTTGGATCAGTCGTACCATGGCTGAAATAAGGCTATACAGGTAGTCCTTGACTTATAACAGTTCATTTAGTGACCAAAGTTATAACTACTGAAAAAAGGGATTTTGAACGTTTTTCACAGTTACGATCCTTGAAGTATCCCCATAATCATGTGATCAAAATTCAGATGCTTGACAACTGCTTCATACTTAGACCATCGTGTTCAAAAGTCATGTAATCACTTTTCGCAATCCTTTGACAAACAAAGTCAATGGGAAAGCCAGATTCACTTAACAAACAAGGTTACTAACTTACCAACTTCAGAGTTTCACTTTACAAATATGGCAAGAAAGGAAATATAGCAAAACTCACTTAACAAATGTTTCACTTAACAACCTAAGTTTTGGGCTCAATTGTGGTCTTGAGTCTATGACTATCTGTAATTATGTAGCAGAGTTTCTTGTCACAAATGCATAACAGAAGTCCATCGTCCTCCTTGCCTAAAGATAGCTGTTCCCCATGTGAAAAATCCAACCAGGACAGAATGTTCTTAAATGAGGAGATATCCCACTTTTGGATGAAGCTAAATCCAAAAATGCTAGAGAGTTCCTGAAAGCCTGGTGCTTGGTCAAATCAGCCATCATAAAACTAAACATATACAAAATCATACATACATACAAATAATGAGAAATGATAATACTGCTTTATACCACACTTGTGGCTGAGGCCACAGATGGAATTCTGTGTATGGTTCTGGTCAACAGAAAAAAAGATGCTGTACCTAGAAAGTATAGAGAAGAACAATAAAGATGTTAAAGGATCTGTAGGTTAAATCCTATTACGAAAGGTAGAGAGAGGTGGATGTTTCTGTAGCTTGTTGAAGAGAAGCATTGGGGAGGACATAGCTGTCTTCCAGTATTTAAGGCAAGGGTCTTCAAACTTGGCAAGTTTAAGGCTTGTGGACTAAAACTCCCAGAATTCCTGAGCGAACATGACTGGAGAAGGAATTCTGGGAGTTGAAGTCCACAAGTCTGAAAGCTGTCAAGTTTGAAGACCCCTGATTTAAGGGGATGTCACGAAGAGGGGACTGACTTACTCTCCAAACAACCAGAGAGCAGGACAGGAAGTAATGGCTGGGTGCTTGTTAAAGAGATCTAAGTTAGAAGTAAGGAGAAATTTTCTGTCTGTGAAAACAATGGAATAATGGAGGTTTTCAAAAAGAGACTGGACAACCATTTGACTAGAGTATCATAAGATCTGCCTTGACCAGAAGACTTTTGAGATCCATTCCAGCCCTATTATGTTGTATCTACACCGTTCAAAAGAGAAACTTCTTCAAAGAAAAACCAGAAAGTCCTTTTGAAAAAGCACCTTTGGGACAGCCATGACCTGGATGACTGAGAATCTTCATAGACATTCAAAAAAGGACAATCCAAAAGCTAAAAGATCACAATACCTCCTAGCCAGCAATTAAAACCCAGATAAGACCCAGATAAGCAATAACCCAATCAAGGAATTGCCAACTCAGTAAACAATGTAGCCTAATCTAGGAATTGAAGGTGGCCACATATCACAGATTAGAAGTGATTGGTTTTATAGAGAAGTCTTTGTTATTGCTAGAAAACATGGAAAATCAGCCTCCCTAGAGATTACTAGAAAGCATACTTGGTCTGATAGGGAGGAAATGCAGTTTGGCTCTCTGTGGGGATTTTGCAATTCTTTATCTTTTGTAACCTCAGAGCGGTATGTGTGAAGAAATCTCTTAATGAAATTAACTTCTAATATCTTGAGATCTCCCTCCTCCCCAGTTTTGTTTAGATTGTTGATATTTGCTAATTTTCCTGTCTAAAGATAGGCGTTATCAGTTTCAGCCTTGGTGTCCAAAAACAAAGGGGAAGTTTAGGATCACTTTTGTCCTATTGTCTGGAGTCTACAATCCATTCAAGAAATAAGCTGATTTGATCTTTGCTGCTGTTTTTAGTCTATGGGAGAGAGAAAATTCCCTAAGAAATCCTGGCTTCTTCTCTTAGCCTAAATTTAATACCGTATTTCGTGGAAAAAGAGAAGTACATTTATAGAGCTAAGGAATAGCTGTGCATTAGACTACTGAGCAAAGTTTCTCAATCTGGGCACGTTGGTCCGACTGTGGAATTCTGGGAGTTGAAGTCCAACTCGTTGCTGAAAACTGCCTTACAGATGCCAAATTGCAGAAATGGCTAAATTGGTTTGTTTGATTACGCAAGTATAATTACTTGTACAAAAGACTGAAAGCCGTTTTGTGGACATTTTGCTGAAAATGGACAAAAACGAACTGGTGATTCTGGGATATATTGATTAAAATGTTTGCCTATGCGAAGAAGAGAATCGTGATTATAATATTGGAAGACAGAGACGGCAATTGCTGTTTGTAACTGCCACAAAGATTGGAAATCACTTCTTTTAGGTGTGTTATTTTTTTCTTTCCTTTTTCTTTCCTTTCACTTTTATTTATTTATTTATTTATTTATTTATTTTATTTGTCAATTGTTTACAAGATAATAAGTATAAGTGTTTACATAGTTATGAATACATGAAATGGGTACATATAAAAAAAATAAAAGAAAAATAAAAGAAACAATAGGACAGGGACGGTAGGCACGTTGGGGCGCTTATGCACGCCCCCTACAGACCTCTTAGGAAAGCGGTGAGGTCAATAGTAGACAGTCTAAGGTTAAAGTTTTTGGGGTTTGGGGAAGAAACTGCAGAGTCGGGTAGAGTATTCCAGACATTGACCACTCTTTTTACATTTTATTTCTTTTCCTGCTTTTTCTTTTACCGGTATGTTTCTATAGTTTTTTTTTAATCTATGTTAAATCTTCTTTTAAATAGAAGTTGTTTTTAAAAGAGGGAAAATCAACCACGCTACCTTACGTAAACCCTTAACTGGACTCAACTGCGTCAACTCCGTGGACGGTCAGGTTGGAGAAAACTGCCCCGCATAAGTCAGCAGTCATACGGCAACCTGAAATAGATGGCGGTTCCATTTACCCTGGCCGCTTAAGATAACCCTATCCTGGCTGCAAAAATCCGGACGCCCACGAAACGGTACCCCCCCCCCCCCCCCCCCGCTCCAAAGCCTACAAAACTCTGTTTAATGCCACCTAGTACGGGTCCGGATTTTTGCCTCCGGATTTTGAAATAGCGGGGAATAGAGTGGGGGAATGAAGAGGGAGAGAGATTGGATTCACAGTCCACTTCAGGCTGTCGTACGAAGCAGCCGCGGGAGACGGTGGGATAGAATTCCGAAGCGTACTGCGCATGCTCCGAAAGAAGCGGGGCGGGGAAACCCGAGGACCGGCGCGTAAGAACCTTGAGTAAAGATGAGGCAAAGCACAGCCGGCGTGGGAGAGGAGGCGGAAGTGCCCGCCTCTTCCCTCGTGATTGGGTGAGAGCGGGAGGCGGGGCAAAGCCGCTGAGGTTCTGAGGGGTGGTGTGGGGCGCGAGCCCCGCGCGTCCTGCCAGGTGAGGTGTCGAGGGGGGGAGGTGCTGAAAGGGGAGCCTTTAGCCATTTAATTAGCCTTCTCTTAATTAGTGAGGCGCGGGGGTGTGTGTGTAATTTTCGCGGGTGTGAGGACGGTGGGGTGGGATTCGCGCCCAGCCCAAGGGGGTTTTGGTAGCCTTCCTCCCCACCTCGTGCTTCCCCCAGACGCGTTGGACTACAGTGCCCAGCGGGCTGGGCGTCCGGGAATTGTAGTCCCAGCCTCTGGAGCGGGCTGGGTGGGCATCAGGCCGAACTTTTCCTCGGGGTCGGGGGGCTTCCTGGTTGGTCCACGTTTCCTGGGCATCCCCAACCCTGAAATTCCGAGGGAAGAAAGAGGTCGAGGCATTATTGAAGTCAGGTATTCATTTATTTTTTAATCTGATCAGATTGGGGAAGGGGGAGAAACGGAGGGAGTTTAGGGGCAGTTGCTTTTTTTGGGGGTGGGGGGGAGTCCGTTTCGGAAGGAAGGGGTCAGCGGATGTCGGAGGGTTCCGTCTGAAAAAGTTTCTGTCGGGTCCCTTGGTTGCTTTTCTTGCAGACCTTTCATTGCCGGGCTTAGGGAGCATCTTCAGTGGTAGCATTGAAAAGTTTTCCTTTCTGGTTCATTCTGAAGTTTGCAACTCTTGAGTAAAAAAAAAAAAAAGCGAGGGGTGTGTGTGTCCGTTTTTGGCCAAAGCTAATCCCCTTAAAGCTTTAACCAGAGGTCTTTTTGCAAAAAGCTGGCCTTGGACACCACCACCAGCACTCCCCATCCTTGGCTTGAAACTTGGCCTTGGGAGGATCTTGCCCTGGGGACAGGAAGGAGCCTGGTGAGCTGATGGTCAGAAAACGCCTTGCCTTAAGGAGCAACAGATGGACACTTCTGAGTGGGAGAGAAGACCAGGCAGATCAGTTAAAAATCTTTGCAGACTGAAGATTGTGTTCTTATATGTTTTGAACCTTCAAAGGGAAATTTCAATAGTTTGCTATCTCTTAATCCTTATTTTCGGCTACTTGCTGTAATTGAAAGATAGGGTCAACCAAAGTCTTCAGCTCATTGTCTCCTTAATGCTCGTTGACCCCCCAAAAAACATATTACTTTAATGGTACTACTACTAATAATAAATAGTCCCTGGGGTCAATATTGACCACGTTGGAGAATCCAGTGTAGATATTAGATCTACACAAAAATGTAGCTATAAGAGAAACAGAGATGAGCTTCCTAGCAACCTTCTGTAAAGTAACATGCTTTGTATGTGTGCACACAGCACCTTTTGTGGTCAAAGTCCACCTGGGAGTAGTTTTCTTGATCATTTGACCAGTTACCTTATGGGTTTAATTTTGGTTTGTGCTTTGCACATATCTCAGCACTTGAGTGTTAGGAATTAATGTGTGAGAGACATGGCTGCTTCTGTCTAAAAGCCCCTCTGCTCTGTTGAATATTTTAAGCTGTTCATTGCTATTGCATGCTCCTTTGTTTCTGTTTAGGCTGTATGGAAATGAAAATTTCGTGAGACATTTTAATTTGGGCAGCATGCATAGCATTTGTGCAATATTTGTTAATTTGATACTAATATATTTTGCAAATAAACACAGGGTTAGCCACTGTTGCAGTACAATCCATTTCCGGGAAAAGCAGCTTCCATGTACAGCATTCAATTGGTGCTAGTAGGCAGGGCGCATACACTGAGTATTTAGGTCAGTGTGGCACTGGAAAAATAAGACTCTAAAGCTTTTTAGCACTGCTGTATTTTCCTGGTTTTATCCTGGTCTGAAAAAGCTAGTCAGTTTCAATCTCCATTTGACAGTTTTGATCTTGCAAGTTTCAAGCAGTAAAGTGTTTTTAAAAGAGGGTTCCAAACCTTAACTGCTTTGCATTTCACACACACAGACATACACACACACACACACACCAATATTGACAATATATACAGAAGGAAAACTGCATTGCTAAAGTGAAAAAATTAGCTGTTGGGTTATGAAACAAAAAAGATAAATATGATTAATAAGTGCTTGGTTTTCTAACTGTATATCTGTCTTGAATTAAAACCTTCATCTAGATTGGATGAAGTAAATGTGATTTTATACTGACTTTTAATATATTTTACAGTTATGAACTAATTTATGCATTTCCTCCCCCACCCTACCTTCTCCCCGAGGTATGGCAATTATCCACAACAAAATGCATGCACGAAATTCCACAAAATAGATTTTTAATTTGAGGGGATTTTATGGAGAAATTACATAGCAAAATTGATTAACACTATATATATAATTATTAGGCTATGTTATTCTTTTTTCTGTTTACTCTTTATTAGGTGGAAAGCCACAACAAACTGCATGGTTTCACTCTCTATGAGCAGATATATTCCTCAATTTTGATATTTTGAAATTAGAAAGCAAATACATCCAAATTTATATATAATTTATTATATATATTTATGTGTGTGTAGATAGATATAGATATATATACACATACACACACACACACACACTTCCCACAATCAAGGAAAACACACCAATGGAGTTCACCAATATGGTTTCAGTTTCAACTATTCGCTGACTTGTCATATATGCTGTGACTGTGGGCTGGAAGAAGCATTGTGGATATATTTGTGGGTCTATCTAGAATTCCTTCTCCCTTTAGACAGGTAGTTTAGCCAACCTTATTTTTTCCCAGATCATCATGGAGTTAAAACTCTGTTTATGACCATGGAAGACATTTTCTGGGTGGGATTTATTTAATGTCTGGCCTTTATTATTTATATAAATTCTAGGTGGTGGATATACCTAATGTTCCTTCTTCCTCCTATTTTCCCAACAACAAACCTCTGAGGCGGGTTGGGCTGAGAGGGAATGACTAACCCAAAGTCACCCAGCCAGTTTTAATGCTAAAGGCAAAACTAGAACTCACAGTCTCTTGGTGATTGGTCAAAAGTCATCCACCTGCTTTCATGCCTAAGGCAAACTAGAAATCACAGTCTCCTGGTTTCCAGTTGCATACCTGATATATCAGTTCAATATCATTTCAGTTCCATCATGGCGGACTCAAATACCTCTCCACTCAAACATTTCGTGTTGGCCAAGAAGACAATTACTGCCATTTTTGAAGAACTACTGAATTTTGTTACCGAAGGAGCAAACTTTGTGGAAGGTTGGTTTTAAGCCCAGGAGGGCAAGGAATGCATATTTTGGGGAGAGCAAGGGAGGCAGCTGCACTGGCCTATGTACGGGAAGATAGGAAGCAGCTGCATGAATCTCACAAAAGCTTTTAATGATTCAAAGAGAAGTCTTTTCATTCACACTTTGGAATATTCATGAGGTACCCCTTTGGAAGGCGTTTTCATCGCTCTTTTAACAGTTGTTCTTTCTTTTGCAAAGCCACCATGAGGCAAAATTCACAAATGTTTTGTTGTAAACAGTGCCACAAGGTACTTAGATTCCTTACATTTTTGTCAGCCAATAAATTTCTGGCAGGTTTTCTGTTTCTTATAGTAACTCTATAAAGGAAGAAATGGGCAAAAATTGTATTGGTGCCTCATCACACTTTATAACATCGGAAAAAGGCCTCTCAATATGACAAGTTAATTGTACTTTCATAATGTTGGTGCTTTGATCTCTGTCCACCGATTATCTCCTGAATCATTGCTTGAGTTGTTTTAATTGGCCTGAGAATGACAATTATTCTCAGCTTCTTTTGATTGGTTAACTGCTCTAATGTCACAGATGTATTAAAAGATTTAGGTTATGAAACTGAGTGGCAGACAGAGACTTTGAGAACGGATTTATATTGCTTCTAAACAACATTTGATAGCTACAGTGCTTCTCAGAGAATTCAAAACACCTGGCTAACTGTGCGATGAAGCATAATACTTTATTGATTTAAGTGTTAGGCCATATCAGAATATAAAATACCAAATATAGAACAATTAAGTAATTCGTTAGAAAAGGGCATAAGAGACTAAGTAAAGGAAAATGCAAATCATATTTCTGTGTCATCTCTACATTTTACCCAAATTCACATATGCAGTTCTCAACTGAATTGTTTTGTTCCAATAAAGGGCCATGTTGTATGCAATTTTTGGATTCGGACCTCACATTAAATGTTTGTTTTAATGTAAGGATCCTAATAGGCTGTTTGTCTAATGTGCACTCTTCAAGATGTTGATCCCTCTCTATCTTATACAAGTGACAGTCAAATAATATATGTGCTGTGTCCGCTACTTGGCTCAGGCAAAATGAGAATAAGAGCCAGAGAAAGTTCCCACTTTGCCTGTTCAAACCTTATTATGTTTAGAGAAATGTTTGATATCCCATTCTCCTCAATCTGGCAGATCCTGGCCCATAGTCCTTTGAGAACTCATAGTATTGGCACCAGGCAGCTCTTTGTGAAAAAGTTTTCCCTTAAAATTGCATGGATTTATCACATTATGAGCTGCAGTGTGCAGTGGTTAGAAGGCTACTTCTGCCGGCTGCCAGAAGTTTGGCAGTTCGAATCTCACTGACTCGAGGTTGACTCAGCCTCCCATCCTTCCGAAGTGGGAGGACCCAAGTTGTTGAGGGCAATATGCTGACTCTGTAAACCGCTTAGAGAGGGCTGTAAGGCACTGTAAAGTGGTATATAAGTCTAAGTGCTATTGTTATTAAACAGAAAAATTATTGTAGTTCTGCAGTAGCCTGCTCTAATTCTTGTTTTTCCCTTTGATGACAGAAACCCACAAAAACCCACAGCTTGAATGCATAGCTACCACAGACGAACTTAAAAAAATACAGGCCTATAAAAACAAGCTGGCCGTAATTGGTGAAGTTTTAGCACGACGGCATATGAAAGTAGCTTTCTTTGGCAGGTAAGAGTTGCTGTTTGTGGGAATAAATGGGTGAGGTTCTTCTCTTGGGAAATATAATACATTTCAAATTATTTTAAACACATTACCTGAGAAACCATTAAAACCATGCTTCACGAGGAAGTTAAGCTCAGAATTAAGAGTTACCCTGATGCTGCTGTGTAACCAATTTTCACTCACTATTGATGCTTGAGCAAAATGATTCCTCGGTAAATTATGTCAGTCTCAGGATTTCCTACGAAAAGAGGCCAAGTCTTTATACACAGTGGCCATCTTGACTTTTCTGACTTGCCTGCTCCTCTTGGCTCTAGTACAATGTGTTTGCCATAAAAACAGAATATGTGCAGTTTACCTTTTACAACAGTTTTGCTATCATTAGAAATGAAAGCAACTTCGTAGTTCTTATCTATAGGTAATCTTCAACACCTGCCTGGGGGATACTTACAATCCAGTTTGAAGTTCCAATGGTTGTGTATCCCCCCCACAGTCACATGATCTACCCCACAATCACATGATCACACTACAGGTGCCTGGCATCAGGCCAGTTTTGTGGCCATTTCCAGCACCTTGTAGGTCACATGACCAGGTTTTGCGACGGTTTCACCAAAAATCTGCATTTACTTCCAGCTTACAACAAATCATTGATTTGCTTACTGGCCACCACCAAAAAGGTCATGAAATCTCCAATAAAATTTACAACCATCACAACTTATGACCATAATGGGCAAGGCTACGTTTTGGTCATAACTCAAGGATTATCTGTATGTTAAGCTAGGAGTCTGGTCAATGTCTGCTTTTACATTAGCAATATTGGAAAGATTTCAGTGCCTTTCCTTGTTGTTTTTCTCTCCCATCATTACCGAAACCAAAATAAATTAACAAACTGGTGGAAATTGATGGAGCTAGGTATATTGGGAAGAAAGAAGCCTCAGATGAAAAAAAAAAATCTGAATCTGGGCAGAAATATAATTTGAGAAAACACCTCAGTCCCTAATTCTCATGCAGATAGAGGGAAGAAGGCCATTCAGACTTGCAAGATTCTGTTACTATAATCTTATTATAAAATTACTATTAGCATTGAAAATATTGGTTTCCTAGTCTGGTCTACTTTGAAGGATTGACAGGTGTCCTCTGGATGTATAATTAATGATACTGATATATAAGATAAAGGTAGGAGTGGTGCAGTGGCCTAGTGTTGGAGCTCTCACCTCACAATCAGGAGGCTGTGAGTTCGATCCCAGGTACAGGCAGATATTTCTCCCTCTGGGCACAGTGAGAATATATCTGCTAAATAAAACTCCACATTGGCGATAGAAAAGGCATCTGGCCGATAAACACTCTGCTAGTTCCATTCAGTTGCCCAGACTCCACACAAGGGATTATGGAGTCGTTAAAAGAAGATGATGAGGATATATAAATAAAGGTAGCAAATGTACACAGTTTGCTCAGAATCAAGACTTTCTAGACTGGAATCTGGAATTATTGCCCAAGACAGTTCATAATCTTGGCTACAATTTAAGTTCAAAAATTAACCTTTCCGTTCTCTTCTTGACCTGCTGTACAGAACCAGCAGTGGGAAGAGTTCTGTGATCAACGCAATGCTGTGGGACAAAGTGTTGCCAAGTGGCATTGGGCACACCACTAACTGCTTTCTCAGCGTAGAAGGAACCGATGGTGATAAAGCTTACCTGATGACTGAAGGCTCAGACGAAAAGAAGAGCGTTAAGGTAAAGTCATCCTCATGGCTGTTTTGCTAGTAGCCCCTTGAAATAACCCAGGTCAGGAAACAGGTACCTCAGGAGATAAAAGAAGAACTCTGCACTAGTTTATTAAAATAGTAGTCCTTGACTAAAGAGTGTTGCGGTGGCCGAGAGGTGGAGCTCTCTCATCACAAATCAGGAGGCTGTGAGTTCGATCCTAGGTAGAGGCAGATATTTCTCTTTCTGGGCACAATGAGAATATACCTGCTGGGGGGAAAACTCCGCATTGGCAACAGGAAGGGCATCCGGCCTGTAAGCACTCAGCTCCATTCAGTTGCCCAGACTCCACCTGGCAAGGGATTATGGGGTCATTAAAAGAGGAAGTAGTCCAAAGTTACAATAGCACTGAAAAAAGTGACTCATGGCTGTTTTTCACACAACCATTTCAGCCTCCATGTGGTCACCTGATCAAAATTCGAGCACTTGGCAACTGGCATGTGTTTATGACGGTTGCCCTGTCCCGGGGTCCTGTGATCACCTTTTGCAACCTTCTGACAAACAAAATCATAAGGGAGCCAGATTCACTTAACAACTGGGTTATTACTTAGCAACAGAAATTTTTGGACAAAACTGTGGATGTAAGTCGAGGACTATCCATATTAGACTCAAATAACAAAATGTTGAAAACCTGACAGAGTTTCCTCACCCATCCCCTTTATACCAAAAAGGGTCGGGACAGGACAATTTTAGATTTCTTTTTTTTTTCCCGGCTGAGCTGATATGTTGCTGACAGCTGTCTCATATCTACTCCAAGGTCATCTCTGCCTTTCCATGTTTGGTAGAAAAGTCATTAGTGATAGCTGCAGGCAGTTTACTTCCTCTTTTTACCAGCAGGGATTGGTTTCTCACTATCTCAGAAAGGCGGTTTGATGCCAAATTTATAAAATTGTATTTTCTGCGATACGCAATAGTGTAGAGCAGTGAGTGTTTCTCAACTAGGTGACTTGTAGATCTGTGGATTTTAACTCCTAGAATTCTCCAGCCAGCATACTGGGAGTTCTTAACTTACAATCCTTTGTTTAGTCACTGTTCGAAATGACAGTGTGCATGGAAAAAAGTGACCTACAACAGTCCTCACACTTACAATAGTTTGGGCATTCCCACGGTCACGGGATCAGAATTTGGATGCTTGGCAACCGCATGTATTTACGATGGCTGCAGTGTCCCAGTGTCACATGGTCTCCATTTGCAAACTTCCCAGGGGGCTTCAAACAAGGAAAGTAAACGGGGGAAACCAGATTCACTTAAAAACTGCAACCAACAGGGTTGCAAAATTGGGCACCACTCATTTCACAACCGAGCAGTTTAGCAAGAGAAGATCTGGTCCCAATTATGCTCCTAAGTCAAGGAGCAATAAGAACACTCAGGATGGACTGTTTTAGTGTCAGCATGTTTTCCTATGCAATGTTGGACATATGCCTTTTAATGCGTTGAGTAAACAGTGCTAAAATTATGCCACCTGGGAAACTAGACTTAATATATATATATTAGAAAACATGTATGCTGTTATTCAAGATCTAGGCAAGCAACAGTTAGTATGTTACTTATTTAATATGGTTTAATTTTATTCTCCTTAGAGAAAAGAGTTGATAGGACAATTTTTTTTTTGCAAACTGTGGCCATGGTCCTTTTTGATGTGTAAGTCAAATAACTCAGATCAGACGTTGCGTTAAGCCAAAACTAAACTAAACATATCAGGTATTAGTCTGTTGAGTGAGCTTAACTAGTCTCTATTAGAGGTTAGAATTCCATATTGCCTACTATGTATTAAAATCTTATTCTGCCTGTTTCTATCAGGCCAAGGTAATTCCAGAGTTTCATATCAACTGTCCATGTAGCATATATACTGTAGTGCTTCAGTTAGTACACATGCTTGGTTTGTCCCCAATCCTTGTGATGTAAGCCAGAACTCTTACAAATTCATTCCTAATTTGACTTTCCCCAAATATTGGGCTGATTTTCCACGAGCGGAGCAATATTTCTTTCCATGCACTTCTTCCTATGCAATGCTAAACCCAGGCGTATTTGAAAGGGGGTCAGAGGTGGTCTTCAGCAGGTTCTGACCTGTTCTGGAGAACTGGTAGTGGGAATTTTGAGTCGTTTGGAGAACCGGCAAATCCCACCTCTGACTGGCCCCGCCCCCATCTATCCTCTGTCTCCCGAGTCCCAGCTGATCTTCTTCTGTTGCCCTGCACAGGAGAATGGAGCTGGAAAGCAGGTTAGTGGGGTGGGGTGGAATTGGAGATTTTACAGTATCCTTCCCCTGCCACGCCCATGAAGCCATGCCACGCCCACAGAACCAATAGTAAAAAAAAAATGAATCCCACCACTGGAAGGGATCCCTTCCTTTCCCTGCCCTTTTGAAAAAAGCCAAGGTATTAATGTAAACATCCCATTGGCTTTTATTTTGTCTACGTCGGTTTGGTGTTGAGTAGTAAATCTACTCATCATACTTCTAGTAATCAAAAAATAAATAAAAATAAATTGGATTCTAGAAACACTGTTGCTGCTTCAGGTAATATTGAAATGTCTTCAAGTTGTCATGGCACTGGCCTTATCCTAACCTGTTCTTCCTTTGCAGACAGTCAATCAGCTCGCCCACGCTCTCCATATGGATAAAGACTTAGAAGCTGGTTGCTTAGTTCATGTCTTTTGGCCTAAAACCAAATGTGCTCTCTTGAGAGACGACTTGGTCTTAGTAGACAGGTATTACAACTCTTTTGGATTCATTCTCAAGGTGTCTTCCCTTTAAACAACACACTCCATCTTGGCTATAGCTTCCCGTTGTTTCATTGTTCAAAGCAGTCTCTGAAAAGACTCAGCAATCAGGCCAACTATCGACTGCAGCTTAATATCCTGGCTTGTTCAGAAACTTTTAATCATAGGTCTAAAAAGAAAGGAAATTGTAATGAATGGACGTCTTCTTGACTTGTTTATTGAGACTCTGGAAAGAGCGCAGAGAAGGGCAACAAAGATGTTTAGGGGGTTGCGGGAATTGGGTATGTTTACTAAAAAGGACTTGGGGTGACATGATAGCAGTATTCCAATGTTTGAGGGGCTGCCAAGAAAAGGGGGGGGGTCAACTTATTTTCTAAAGCATGGGTCGCCAACCTTTTGGACTTCAGGGACCACCAAAGTCATAATTTTAAATCCCAGGAACCACTAACCGGTTCTGTGAGCCTGGCCTAATTTGTGGGTGTGGCTTGATGGTTATGTGATTGGCTGGGCATGGCTTGTATGTAAATATTATAAATATTTATAGAAATATTGAATTTTTCATAAAAAAGAGCAACTTTTACCCAAAATCAGGCAAAGCAGGCAGGCAGATTGAGTTGCTCACAAAATCATTCAGTGATCTATCTATCTGCCATCAGCTAGCTCAATCTCTCAAAATTTGTTTGCCGTGAGTCTGTACTGAATAATAGAACCTTCAGTCCTAAGGGAGGTTTGGCTGTGCTTAAAAGCAGAGCTGAAGATCTAAAGGCTAGCTAGAAAGCAAGAAATCCAACCATTTCCTGTTTCTTAGCTAATCTAAATCTCCTGGCAGAGCAACACAGGTGATGGAAAAATAGTAACTTAGTAGGCAAGTTTGCCGGGTAAGGAGTGAGTGGATAGGGAGGGTTCACCTGGACCATGTGGGCGGCGCAGCCTTGTGTTTCTGCACAGCCTGGATTAATTCCTTTGGGGGATGCTCTGCGGGTGAGATTTCTCTGCGGCCCACCAAAATTTTCTCACGGCCCACTGGTTGGTGACTGCTGTTCTAAAGCACCTGAAGGCAAGACGAGAAGCAATAGATGGAAACTAACCAAGGAGAGAAACTAGAAAGAATTAAGGAGAAATTTCCTGAGAATAAGAACAATTAATCATGGCTTGCCTTCAGAAGTTGTGTGGGTGTCCCGTCACTGGAGGCTTTTAAGAAGAGACTGGACAGCCATTTGCCTGGAATGCTAAATGGTCTCTTGCTTGAGCAGGGAGCTAGACTAGAAGACCTTCAAAGTCCCTTCCAACTCTGATTATGTTCTATGTTCTACATACAGCCAAAAACACATTCAGAATTTATTTTTATAAGCTATGATTGCGTGACATGTTTCCATATTTTTCTACATTTTCAAATTCCACCTGTAACTCCATCCTCCCCTCATTTCATAGTCCAGGTACTGATGTCACCACAGAGCTGGACACCTGGATTGACAAATTCTGCCTGGATGCCGATGTTTTTGTTTTAGTTGCTAATTCAGAATCAACTCTCATGAATACAGTAAGTCTTCAACTTTTTTTTAAGGGAACCGTTCATTTGTTTTATTCATATTTCCTCCTCTCAAAGCAGAAGGTATATCTTCTTTTAATACTCCTAAGAACCCTCTAAGTTTGAGGCAACTGATCCAACAGTTCATCGTAGGTATAAAATATCCCTGTCAAAAATCTTTATCCGTGTTTAAATGTGTTGTTCTATCACACCCGTCACCCTTCTAAGCTAGCATAGTGAATATTCCTGTTAGCTGATATTTAAGCATGATCCATATTAGGGAGATCTTGAATTAAAACCTTTCATTTTCTCACAGTATTTTCCATTAATTTTTAATGTCACACAAGGTAGCCCTTGACTTTTGATCACAATTGGGACCGGAATTTTTATCATAAGCTATTGTCATTGTAAGCAAGTCAGACCCAAATTTATGACAGTATTTACAATGGCCATTAAGAGAATCGCTATGGTCGTTAAGTGAATTGCATGGTCACTAAGCAAACTCAACTTCCCCAATTGGGTTGTTTTTGCCAGAAAGCAGCAAAAAAGATCGCAAATCACGATCGTGTGACTGCAGAATGCTGCAACCAGTTGTAAATGCAAGCTGGTTGCTGAGCCTGATTTGCAGTCATGTTACTCTGTGTGTGTGTGTGTGTGTGAGAGAGAGAGAGAGAGAGAGAGAAGAAAGGAAGGAAGGAAGGAGAAAGAAAGAAAGAAAGAAAGAAAGAAAGAAAGAAAGAAAGAAAGAAAGAAAGAAAGAAAGAAAGAAAGAAAGAAAGAGTAAGTGTCAGCTGGTGCTCCATTCAAAATCCAAGAAAGAAATACTTAAGACTCCATTAATCAGAGAAAAGATATTTTTTACTGGAAATCAAGTGGTAGCAACAAAAGAATTCTGAATCTGAGAAAATGGGTGCGTAAATCACATATACAAAGTAATGGCAACGTTCCCACCCCCAATAGTTCAAACGATTCTTCCAATTAAAAGTTGTGAATATCATCATGTGGGCATCTCCAGGTGGTGATGAGGCTTCTGTCCGTTGACCTTGGCATAGTTTGGTAAAGGTTTGCAGCTGCACATAGCATAGAAGAGAAAGCTAAGCAAGGAATAGAAACCTAAGCAAGAACGTACTCCCCCCTCAGTTTATACAGTTCTGGTTTGTAACACCTCCAGCTCCCTTCCCATAATTTTCCCCCCTCCTCCCCCCATTACTTATGACAGCCGAAAGATGCAAAGCAAAGGGAGAAAATCTTGAAGGCTGACAGAAAGAGTCACAATTGCAAGTACTAGTCATGTCACTTTTTCCAAGGCCATTGTAATATTGAATGTTTGTTAAATGAGCAGTCTTAAGGAGTATCCTATATGTAGATTCCTATTTTGAGTAGGAGACGGTTCTAACTTCTTTAGTTTCTTAAGTCTGTTAATTTTTTCTATCTTTTTCTGTCTTTACCACATTGATGACTAAATAATTCTTCTTTTCAATTGTATGGGATCATCTCAATGTTAGCACAAAACGGGTTTATGGATTTTGCTGATCAATAAATGTTCACTTGGGAATTAATTCCACTGTATTCATTGAAACTTAAGTCTGAAGGAGGTGTGCACTGGACTGCAGATTCTTTGTGTAAAAACATTTCTTCCCTTTTGAAAAGAAAATTTAGAGTGTAAAATTTGAAGAGAAAAATCATAGACAGGTGGGTATGAATTATAGAATGTAATTATAGGGTGTAACTATAAATTACAAGGCAAATAGCTTTTCAGGGACTCCTATTTTTGCTCTCTGTTTTATCTTTTATAGTTGTTTCTTTTCATTTTGGATGATTTCTAATTTTAAGCTTCTTTGGAAGATTTTACACAGTGGAAAAGTAACAGGAATTCTTAGCTGGAAAGTATGATCTTTACAATGTAAAACATCAAATGTTTTGGAAATGTATTGGGACAAAATTTAAATTGAAGGTCAGCATGACTGAAACTTCGATTAGCTGTCTGCTGCTGAATGATCAATTTGAGTGAAGTTAGGAGATTATGTTTGTATCTCCTTTGCACTTGTGTCCCAGACAGAATTATGATTCTGCGAGTCAATTAAAAACTCAGAAATCTTTATTTCTGAAATGAAGTTCAGAAGCTCCTCGGTGGCTTGTCTCGGGCTTGTCTAATCTGAAAGAACAGAAGTAAAATAAAGTAAAAAGGGGAGATAAAATACTATTTCAGTCATCAGTTCTTAAAATGATTGTAAACAGTTCTTCTGTGGGCCTCCTAGAAGCAGTTCTGCAGAAGAATGAAAGTAATGAAACTGTATTCTTTGCCAAGTTGATGAAGAACCAGCTGATCCCCAAAGCTCTTTCAATAGATCTGTATCTGTCTATATCGACTCTACCCCGAATTGGGGGATAGGGTCATAAAAAAGAGGTTTATATCTAGATCCATACTTGTAACTCTCTATTTTAGGAGAAACAGTTTTTCCACAAAGTGAACGAAAAACTTTCTAAACCAAACATTTTCATCCTGAACAACCGCTGGGATGCTTCTGCATCAGAACCTGAATACATGGAGGATGTGAGTTACAGATTTGTAATTTTTTGGGGAAAAGGAGTTGATGGGTACTTAAGACCTTACATTCATTTAAGGAAGGAATTTCATTGAGAGCTGCATCAGGGTTGTGTTTGACCTCTGAGGGGCATGGTCAGTTCAATGTCACTCGTGTCGGGGGCACCTGTGGTGGTCCGAGTACTCTGCCAGTGAAAAGAGGCTCCCAAGCTCCATTTTCGACTGCAACAGCCTTCTGCAACCTTCTATCAGCAAAAATGTAGTTTGGGAGGACTGTGTGCGGCCCTTTCAAGCTCCGTTTTTGCTGGCAGAGGCACTGTGGGCCAGTCCTTCGCTATTTCAAGGGCAACTCCGCTGGCCAGATCTAAGTAGCCCGCAGACAGGATCCAGCCTGCAGGCCTTGAGTTTGACACCCCTGATTTAAGGTGACAGTCAAGGAAATCTCATAAATTCAAGACATTTTCTTTCCAAAGTAAGCCACACAAGGGGAGGTATGGAGAAAATGAAAGGTGCTTTTTGTGTTTTGTAAATGGATGGGAGACTGACTGATGATCCCATGCACTATTCATTGTCATTTTGCAGGTACGCAGACAGCACATGGAACGTTGCCTGACTTTCTTGGTGGATGAGCTCAGGGTTGTGGACCGTTCTGAGGCCCAAAACCGAATTTTCTTTGTTTCAGCCAAGGAAGTTCTCAGTGCAAGGAAACACAAAGCTCAGGGCATGCCTGAGGGAGGTGCGTATTGTATGTTAGGTCCACTTTCTAGCGATGATGGTCCTTAACATCTTTTGAAGGTTGGCTATTTTTTTTCCACCCAGAAGACCCATCTTTCAAAAGGCTCCTGCAGCTTCAATTAATTGTTCATCCACTCTGTTTTGTGCTTTTGTAGGTGGCGCAATCGCCGAGGGATTTCAGATACGGTTCCAGGAATTCCAGCACTTTGAAAAAATATTTGAGGTAAACTTCCAGAGTATCTAAATCAGATTGAGTGGACCTATGTATATGATGTCATCCATAGGTCTCTTCATTCCAGGTTTATCTACAGAAAGAAATTTATCTTGAGCTTGGTGGGTTTTCTTAGAGAGTCAGAAGAGAGCTGCATTCAAATAATTATGAATGACTCTTAACATTTGGCTAACTTTGCACATTAGTGCAAAGTGTACTACTGTTCTCTTCCAGTGACTCTCTTGTACGTCAGAAAGTCAAGAGACCTCAACTGTTTTTCTATCATAGAGCGATGAAGATGCTTCTAGGTTAGGCCTGTTACATTTCTGTGTTGTCCAGGGCAGGCGTTTTATTCCTGGGGATACACAATTTCTTTTTTTCAGATTCAGTCATAAAAAACATGACGTAACTGACCTCCTTCTTTCTCCCTAAATGTTTTACTCTGAATATGATAACAACGGATGTACTTCCTGTGTCCGATACTTGGCAGCCAAGAGTGAATTTATATTAAATAATCATTCTTAAAATGCTTGTGGGGTCTGTGGGACTGGCAACCCAATGGTAAGGGATGGCCTTCATTATAGTGTGGGAAAAATTGGAGGACCGCCATTTTCTTCCCTGTTCTAGAAGGCAGCAAAAGTTGATCTGAGACATTGCAGAAGAAGCAGTCCCCACAAAATAGGAACTAGCCTGATCCTTGTTAGCTTCCATGAGACCCTTAATGCCCCTCATTTTATTTCAGTGAGGCTGGTTAAGAAAAGGAGAAGCTGGATGACCATGTGACTATATGTATTGTTGACTATCATCGGTCTTGTTGCTTATGCCAGTATGTCATATTGTTGCCTGTCTTTTGGGGGCAGTCCAGCCAGCATCACCATTGTCTGAGGTAGTTTGCAAATACCGTTTAAAAAATAAAAGAGGAGGAGGAAGAGATGCCACCACAATCATGTTTTCCTGATTCAGTTCCTGTCAAGCGTCAGGAATTAAAATTCTTGACTAAGAAAGGAACTTGAATGTTGTCTCGAAAGAACTGTAGTGTTGTGAATGCTTTGCTAATGCCTTTTCTAGGAATCTTCTCTGTGCATGAAAATCAATTCTCAGCATCCCTAGGAAGAGAAATATGGAATGGGTGGAGAAGAGGCCTTTTTGAAAAAGGGATGAAGGGCTGTAGACGTCTGCAGGAGAAAACCTAACTAACTGAATAACCAGGCAGCCTGCACAGCACTGGTGGCCCAGTGGTTAGAATGCAGTATTGCTGGCTAACTTTGCATTCTCCTGCCAGGAGTTCCATCTTGACTGGCTCAAGGTTGACTCGGCCTTCCTTCTGAGGTCAGTAAAATGAGGACTCAGATTGTTTGCGGGCAATAGGCTGACTCTGTAAACCGCTTAAAGAGGACTGTAAAGCACTATGAAGTGCTTTATAAGTCTAAGTGCTATTGTTATAAACGATCACATTTGCTGTATAACCATAGCAATTATATACCACTTCACAGTGCTTTACAGCCCCCTTTAAGCGGTTTACAGAGTCAGCATTTTTGGCTCCGACAAACTGGGTCCTCATTTTATCCACCTCAGAAGGACGGAAGGCTGAATCAACCTTGAGCCGGTCAGGATTGAACTCCTAGCAGTGAGCAGTGACTTAGCCCTGCAGTACTGCATTCTAACCTCTGTGCCACCATGGCTCTTATTTATCATCTCTTAAGACCTAAAGGACCCATGATTGACATCACTGAAGGAAAGAATTAGAAATATTTTGTCCCATTTTTGTTTTGCTTTAGGATTTGTGGTCAGGTTAGAAAGCCAAACACCAGTGCTTAGCCAGGCCTCCCAAAGTCCAGGGAATATCCAAGCCATCCCTGGCTAGAGATGGAACTCTTCAACTATTGGCTGAAAGGTTTTCTTGCTCCAATACAAACCTCTCTGTGCCCTGATCTCGTCAATGAGGGGGATTGTTTGAACTAATTGTCTGCTTTTATTGTTTTCTCTCTGAGTTATAATGTTTCTTATAGCTTCCTACTATGGACTTGCTTGTTGTATAGTCTGCCTTCTTCTACCTGTTTGCTGACCTGGAATTGGACTTTTCCTGCGAATCTCGTCTAGCTCTAACAATGTGCTCTTGTTCATGCGAGTCGCTTGCTTTTTCATTGCTGATTTCTAGATCTACTTCGTCGAGTGTAATGGCTCTTGTCTATTATTTCTATTTTATATTTCCTTTGCTTCTTACTCTCTTTTTTTTGCCGTAACCCTTATTAAGGCTGAGAGAGTGAGCTGCAGTTTTAAGTTCTGTTAGGATACATTCAAGAGTCTAGGAGAATGCAGTGAGGAAGAAAATAAACTCTTTCGCTTGGTAAACAGGTGAATAAATTGTTTAAGGTTTTACTGAACTGCCAGTAACTGTTCAGGTGTAACCCTCTACCTTCTTAATTGAATAGGCACTTTTCCTTCAACAAAGGATTTTCAAGTATTTAAGAGCCATTATATTCCTCAAGTTGCTATAAGAACTTGAAGATGACATTTACCCTAAGCTAACCAGAGAATAAACTCAAACAGTGTTTTTCAACCTTGGCCACTAAATGAAGGGTAGGACTTCAACTCCCAGAATTCTTCAGCCAATATGGCTGACTGAGAAATTCTGGGAGTTGAAGTCCACCTGTCTTCAAATAGCCATGGTTGAGAAACACTGAAGTAGAAGACCTCCATACCAAGGATGACTCTGTTGTGTTTACACAGACTTTTTGGCTACCTTGTCTTCATGTGAATAATATAAACATCCTCTTGCAAGACAGGTTTATTGGTTACACTTACATGGAGGTGAAAACTTCACATGTAGGAATTTCGAGATGGCTTTCTTTCATGAACAGAAATCAGATTATTATAGCATCAGCATGGCTGTTAGATCAACGTGTCTTCAGCCTGTGCCACGTGGGAGATACTCCAGCCATTATGTATGGATGCAGGAAGCATTAATACCCTTTCTGTGGTTTGTGGGCAAGGACCATCATGCAATCCTTGAAGCTGGTCCTCAGGATTTCTCCATCCTGAAGGACCTCAGATAGGTCTCAGGGGAAGTGATGGAGACTCTGGAGAGCCAATCCTAAGGTAGAAGGTTCTGCATTAGAGAAGACTAATAGTCAAACCAGCTGTTTCCTATGATCCAAATCATTCAAAAACCAAAGCTTGCAAGAGCCGTGGTGGCGCAGTGGTTAGAATGCAGTACTGCAGGCTACTTCTGCTGACTGCCAGCTGCCAGAAGTTTGGCAGTTCGAATTTCACCAAGTCAAGATTGACTCAGCCTTCCATCCTTCCAAGGTCGGTTAAATGAAGACCCAGATTGTTGGGGGCAATATGCTGACTCTGTAAATCACATAGGGAGGGCTGTAAAGCACTGTGAAGCAGTATATAACCCTAAGTGCTATTGCTATTGCTACTTCTAGCTGCAGACTTTCAAGAACGCATTCACAAGGAAATCCAGATGCATTTATTTATCCAGCCACAGTCTTAGTAATTGCACCAAGAGTGTCCACAGTGTATGTGGGAAAAAAAAAAGTCAAAATGGCAGCCACTGTGGCACAATTGAAGCTCCTCCCATTTAATGTGCATTACATATCCTGTGAACACCTCCAATATATACATTCTCCTCATTTTCCCATTAGCTTCTCGGTTCATCTAAACCGTAATAAAAATCACCCGCGGCAGGCAATTCTGTTGAGATTCCCAAATGCTCGCGTTAAGTGGATTTTTTTTTTGTTAATTGTTGCCTTTATTGTTCTTTTTACTTTCTACACATTACTGTTAGCTGAACTGTAAAAGAGAGCAGGATTTCACTGCTCTAGAGTTGGGATTTTGGTTATTGCTTGTCTTTCTTTTGTTGTTCTATGTCTTTTGTTTTCCTCCCACCCATCCCCTTTGCTTTATTTTATACATACGTATACCTATAATCGCCTCAGAGCATTCTCTGAAAGCTCGAAATTCCCAAGTGTTTTTGGCGACGGAATTGCAGTAATGTGTGTTGTGGCTTGGGCCCCTCGCAGGAGTGTATCTCGCAGTCAGCTGTGAAAACCAAGTTTGAGCAGCACACTATCAGAGCTAAACAGATCCTCGAGACGGTGAAAAACATTATGGACAACATAAATGTGGCAGCAGCCCATCAAAGGTAGGCCTCTCCTGTTGCTTTTGCCTTGTTGCTCAAAACTGGACAAAGCCACCAGGTTGCACTGACCTTTTCTCCCCCATGAGTAGGAGGTGAGTAGAACCGATGAGGAAAGCATTGCCTGCAAACACCGAATTTGCCAATTGCCAAGTTCCTATAGTCCCATGGGAACACCAAGCGATCTCCAAGTCATGTTTATTGTTGTTAATATTATTTCTGTGCCACCCTTTCTTCATTGTGAGGGGGCACAAGTCGTTTGTAAGTGAGTGATAATTTAAAAAACCCTTTAAAATGGGTTGCCACTTTGGCGTAGTGGTTAATTTACCAGGCTCAAAACTAGGAGACTGGGAGTTCTAGTCCCACCTTGGGCAGGAAGCCAGTTGGGTGACCTTTGGCTGGTCACTCACTCTCAGTCCTAGGAAATAAGCAATGGCAAACCACTTCTGAGAAGCATTGCTAAGAAAGCTACAGTGAATAGTCCAGACAGTTGCAAGGAGTCAAAAACTGACATTGGCACTAAACATAAATATTATGGGGTAGAATCATTGAGTTGGTAGCGGAGCCTGGAGGTCAACTAGTCCAACCCTCAATCTTCAACAATAAACACATTTTAAAGTGAGGGGGAAACATTTTTAATGACCCTGTACTGAAATCCTTTAATTTGGGGTAGACTTGGGGCAACTCAGTGACATTGGGGCAACTCAGTGGAGCTGAGTATTTATTGGCCAGATTCTCTTCCTGACGCCTAAGTGGAGTTCACAGCAGATATTTTTTTTCTTTGTGCACTGAGAGAGATCGATCTACCAGCTACCTAGGATTGAACTCTCAACCTTCCGAGTGGGAGGCAAATCATGCTACTCACAGCCCTAGTAAGCAATAACAAATATAAAAAAATTAAAGAGAGGTTCCTTTTAGAAAAAGGCAGGCTAGCTCTGGAAATTTCTGAGTGAAGAGTAATGGCTACAGAATCCAGCCACGTGTGACTTGCAAAAGAATTCTGTGCTTGCTTTGTCTGTTCCTTCCGTACTCCAACTCCAGGTTCTGCCTTCCAAGTTAATTAATGTCTGGCTTCCTTTCCCTCCCAGGCAGGGATTAGTCTACAATATTATCTGGGTCACATGATAATGAAAAGACATATGTGCCCCTTTAATATCAATGTTAAGCACGTTGCTCAAAGGATCAGGATTAAGGCCAGAGGAGAGAAACAGTCTTAAAGCTGATTTGAGCTGCAAATTGAATTGGTCTCCTTGCTTTTAATTTTGACTGAAATCTACCTAGTAGGGTGGGTAGCCCCACTGCTAGTCTGAGCTTATGTCCACCAGAGGTTGATGGCTGCTTTTCTCCTGCCTCAAGAGTGCATTCGATAGAAGAACGAGAAGACCATAAGGACAGGTTGGACTTTGTACGAAACCAGCTCAGCCTTTTAACAGAGGAGGTTAAGAAGAAAATTAAAGATGTTACCGAAGAAGTTGCCAACAAGGTAAATAACCAAGTCCTGGATCCCTACCTCCATTCACAGCAGCCAGTTTTCCACACACCCTTCCACAGCAGTAACCGTGGTTACTGCCATAACTAGTTCATTTGTCAGGTCCTTATTGAGCTTTTAGTAATGTCGGTACCTGCTTCACCACTACAAAATAATTATTTTTTAAAGTTTTTTATTTTATTCTATACAAACAATCCATCTTCCACTTAAACAGTGTGTCGTCTGGGTACAAATACCTTGTGCAATAACAATTACATTTGATACATGCTCATTACTATAGTATTAATACTCTATTCCTCCTTTATACTACTATTTATAATATATCTATTATAACAATCCCCATCTTGGCATATTTAATTCTTATTCACATGCTTACTATTTTTCGCTAATTTTCTTTAATTTCTAATTTCCATATTCTCTAGCCGTTGATAAAATAGTTCCCATATCATATAATATTCAGTTTGTTCCTTTTCTTTAATTGCAAGTGTTAGCCTGTTCATTTCTGCACATTCTAATATTTTCCTGATCACATTCTCATCTTGTCGGAATCTTTTCACTTTTCCAATTTTGTGCAAATACAATTCTAGCTGCAGTTAATACATGGACAATTAAGTATGCCTTTTCTTTACTATAATTATTGTAGGATAAGTAGGGAAAATCTCTTCAGTAATTTGAGGCAGGCTGCTATCTTACATCAAATCTTTCCTCCCTCCCTTTTATTTTGGAAGCGATTATTGGCCTACTTTGCAGGGCTCCAAAGGCGATGTCAGGGAGTAGTGAAGAGATGTCACTCATTTCTCCTGATCTTAAATGTGTCATGTTTTCTAGGTGTCTTCTGCCATGACTGATGAAATCTGTCGGCTTTCAGTTTTGGTAGATGAGTTTAACTCTGATTTCCATCCGTCTCCACAAGTTTTGAAACTTTATAAAAGTGTAAGTTCTGTCCATTGGCTTTGCATTCCTTGGTTAGTGTTGATTTCTGTGGATTGGTTTCATGTGTTTGTATGTATAACTTGCATGTCAAGTATTTTTCGGAGTATAAGACACTCCGAAGTATAAGACACAACTAGCTTTTGGGGAGGAAAACAAGAAAAATAAAATCTGCTTCCCAGGAATTTGCCTCCTTGCAGCAAATTTGCCTCCTTGCAGCCTGTTTCAGCTTTAGCACAGCCTGATGAGCACAAGCATCTGATTGTTGGTTGGATCAGCCTCCCGAACGATCAGCTGTTTCAGGCTGCAGGGATTGCCATCACCTATTGCCACCTCCACGTGCCCCATTTTCAGCCTCTGCAACCTGCTTTCGGCCTCTGCACACCCATTTTCGGTCTGCTCCAGGCCGTGGGGATCGGAACTGGTGGAAAATGGGGTGCACGGAGGCCTAAAAACGGGGCGTGCGGAGGCGGCAATAGCTGATGGCAATCCCTGCAGCCTGAAACAGCTGATCGTCAGGAGGCCAATCCAACTGACAATCGGCTGCTTATGCTAATCAGGCTGTGCTGAAGCTGAAACAGACTGTTTGCTGTTTGCTGCAGTGGGCAGGACTTCAGCAACATTCCCTGCATAAGACGCACAGACATTTCGACCCACTTTTGGGGGTGGAAAAAGTACGTCTTATACTCTGAAAAATACGGTATTTGAGCATCATGTGTACCAGTTCCTGTGAGGTTAATACGTAGAGTCGAGAACTGGTCCGTTACACAAACGTGTGATGTCTTAGTGAAAGTAATAAATCTGGGTTCATGGTAAAGCTCATGATTTTCCTTTCGCCAGGAACTCAGCAAGCACCTAGAGGAAGGATTGGGAAGGAACCTGGCAGACCGGTGCTCCAGCGAAGTCAACAGCTCTATGCATCAATCCCAGCAAGAAATTATCGGTAAAGAAGAATGAATAAATACAGCCCTTTGACTTCTCCCCTCCCCTCATACTGCATAACTGGGTGGCTGCATATGGAATTCATTTCAAGAGCCAACTCTTGCCTTTAGTTTTTGCATTTGGTGCATTTAAGCAGGTCTTAAGGAATCGTACGAAGGACGGTTACAGAAATTGGGTATGTCTAGTGTCTAATGAAAAGAAGGACCAGGGGTGACATGATAACAGTGTTCCAATATCCTACAAAGACAAAGGGGTCAAGTTATTTTCCAAAGCACCAAAAAGCAAGATGAGAGGCAATGGGTGGAAACTAACCAAGGAGAGAAGCGACCGAGAACTCAGGAGAAATTTCCTAACCATGAGAGCAATCAACCAATGGCTTGCCTTCAGAAGTTGTGGGTGCTCCATCACTGGAGGCTTTCAAAAAAGAGACTGGACAATTATTTATCTGAAGTGGTATAGGGTCTTCTGCTTGAGGAAGGGGTTGGACTAGAAGATGTCTCTTCCAAATCTATTATTTTAGGTTCTATGTCTAAATAATGCCATCCTTATTGTTCATGCCTGCCTCCCTATTTCTGAAAATTGGTTAATGTGCTTTATTCACTCAATGCTTCCCCCTCCCCACAGAAAATCTGCAGCCCCTCTTGCCTTTGGAGGTCCAGAACAAGCTCCATTTGCTGATTCCATGCCGGCAATTTGATCTGAGCTACGATTTGAACTGCAACACCCTTTGCTCGGATTTTCAAGAGGATATCACATTCCGCTTCTCCCTGGGCTGGACGGCTCTTGTTAGTCGCTTCCTAGGATCTCAACATGCCCATCGGGTCCTACTCACCATGGCCGAACCGGCTCTTGCGGTGAGTACTTCAGATGGTTTTGCTCTAGAGCTTGTATGTATAGATCAAGGGTCTTCCAACTTGGCAAGTTTAAGACTTGTGGACTTCCAGCTCCCAGAATTCCCGAGCTAACATGACTGGAGGAGGAATTCTGGGTTGAAGTCCACAGGTCTTAAAGCGGTCATGTTTGAAGAGCCCTGGTATAGACGGTGTTCCTATATGCAAATGACAGAGTAGACTTGAATATTGGAGATCATTCAGCGGACCAGTCAGGGCTCATGATTGTGAACAGTTCCCAGAAACAGTGATAGGGAACCTTGTTGTACCTGAATGCCCAGGGGTTGTACTTGACTGTTCAGAAGGATCATCACCGCCTCCTTTTAATGACCCCATAATCCCTTGTGGGGTGCAGTCTGGGCAACTGAATGGAGCTAGCAGAGTGTTTTAATGGCCAGATGCCCTTCCTGTTACCAATGTGGAGTTTCATTCAGCCGATAACATTCTCAACGTGCCCAGAGAGAGAGAAATCTGCCTCTACCTGGGATCGAACTCACAGCCTCTGATTGTGAGGCGAGAGCTCCACCTCTAGGCCACCACACCACTCACCGTTCAGAAGGATGCTTCTGATGAAATAGGAGGACATCATTTTGCACAGAGAACGAGACTTTTCCCCAAAGTTGATGCCCTTAATAGCATTTGATTGGCTCATGAATGCACAAATGGAGAGCTTTTATGAATAATCCAGCTGTCTCCAATTTCCCTCCCCTGGGCAGACTTACTGCAAAGTTTATTATTAAAACATTTATAAATCTTTCAATCAACTCTGGGCAGTTCCCAGTCAAAAATGAGAAGAGATAGAAAATCAAATTGCCGGCTGCCTGCAATTTGGCAGTTTGAATCTCACCAGGCTCAAGGTTGACTCAGCCTTCCATCTTTCCGAGGTGGGTAAAATGAGGACCCAAATTGTTGGGGGAAAGAGGCTGACTCTGTAAACCGCTTAGAGAGGGCTGTAAAGCGGTATAGAAGTCTAAATGTTATTGCTATTTTAAAGAGAACTCAAATTTATTAAAACATTGAAAGCAACCAAACTGGGCGCCAATCTCTTCTAATGTGTAGTTATTCTCCCAATGCTTGGGGGAAAATGCTAGGCCTTTAAAGCCTTATGGATGGCTAAAAGGGTGGAGGCCTGCTGAACGTGTGGTGGTAGAGAGGGTTCCACGGGGCTGCCCCATAGCGGGCACACTTCCCAACTCTCATCAAATAATATTTAGAGGAAGGAACATAGAAACGTCCCCACCCTATCTGACTTGGTAAGGTGGGTAGATATCCTTAGGAAAAGACGGTCCTGCAGAGAGCCATTTAGGTCTTCAAGGGTCATAACCAACCCCTTGAATTGCACCCTGCAAGAAACTGGAAACCGGCATCGCTTATGTGGCAGAGGTATTATACGGGCAAACCTAGAGGGCTTGTCCGTGGACCGGGTGAAGTTTCTGGATGTAGAGCACAATGCAGTAATGCAGAGAGGAGGTGACCCAGGTTGCATTCTTCTTCCCTAGATTCCTAGATCTCTTGCCTCCACTCCTTGCACTAGTGTTCCCAGTCTAACCCCGGAGAGTGCCTCGCAGGAGGAGCTCATGATTTCCTTGGTCACCAATTTGGCATCATTGACATCTCGGACTTCCATGACGGTTATCATCCTTGGGGGTCTGGTGAGTACCATCACCATCTCTGCCTTGGGTGGGGGGAGCGTGTGCTGTCTTATACCAGTCCCTTCTGCTTAAACAGCTTACTGACCTGGGTCAAGATCCACCGATCTTTCCAAATCTGAGCCTGCCCCATCCTTTCCAAAACATATTTCATAGATCTTACATTAGAGGAATAGCAAGGTGGACTCTTAGCGGTAGTGGCACAAAACTGTTTTGCTATCTAGCAAAATCACATTATATGGATGTGGATATCTCACCCGAAGACTTCTTTTCTCTAGCCATGCTGTTGAGAGCAGACTCACCGCTCTCAATAGTTGAGACTCCGGCTTGCGAATTCACCCTTCATGATACCTGTCGATCCTTTTTTAACAGAAGGCAGGAAGCTCTCAAGTTAAGTATAGGCAGGCTACATAAAATGAGCAGACTTCACACATATCTGAAGAGAACTTCCCTGCTTAAAAGATGCATGTGGAAAAAGTGGAAAGTTTCTTCTGCAGTTACAAAAATTAAAATAATGGGCCATTCACAACCTCTATCTTCTTGCTGTGAGGTGTAGCTCCTCTACCTCCAAACTCTCACTGCTTAACACTTTTTTTTTTATACAAAAGTATCATAGCGAATGGTTTCTTCTTCCATTTGTGGTTCCTCTAATAAAACATTGCATTGTTTTGGTTTCGAAGTGTTCATAACACAAGATTGTTTGCAGAATTCAAAATTTCATGATAAGTATAATCTTAAAAAGTAGCCATTTTTTTTTTAAGAAAAGAAAGTAGCAAACCTTCAAATTAAAAACAGGAAAAAAAAATTCCCTTAATAAGCCTTAAAATTTGTATCTTCTTTCCGACCCAAGGTAAGATTTTTCTAGCAAATTTTTCTCACGTTTTCCAGTTGGAACGGTTTTTGATCAAGTGGTTCTCTTCCAGGTTTGGAGAACTGTGGGCTGGAAGGTCATCTCTCTCTCGCTGAGTATGTATGGGATGTTGTATCTGTATGAGAAGCTTACTTGGACAGCCAAAGCCAAAGAGCGGGCATTCAAGCAACAGTTTGTCAACTATGCTACAGAAAAGCTGCAACAGATCATCAACCTCACCAGCTCCAATTGTAGCCATCAGGTGCAACAGTATGTCTGACCTGTTTTGTAATTGGATTACCCCTTCCTCTGGTAGCCGGGCAGTGTTATCCCTGGGCTACTGATGGATTGGTGCCTGGCATTTTTCTCTCCTAGGGAAATGGCCACCACGTTTGCTCGCCTCTGCCAGCAGGTTGATATCACAGAAACCAAACTGGAGAAGGAGATTGAACAATTGTCTCAAAAAATTGCTCAGCTAGAAAAAATCCAGAACACCTCCAAGCATCTACGGTAAGCTCAGGAGCGTCAGTGCCTTGGATGAAAGATTAGGAATAGCAGACAAATGGACACTTAGTTTTCAGGCTATCTCTCTCTCTCTCTCTCTCTCTCTCTCTATCCATCCATGCATTCATTCATACGTATCTATTTATCACCTGGAAATTGTAAGTGAATGTGCTCTGTATATGAATTTTAAAATTACTTTATTATTAGCATGTGGCATTGTTTACAGTAACCAGGAGACCAGTGCTGTTGCAGAGTAGTAGTATGCCTTGCAAAGGTACCAGCCCTGTTATAAGACACACTCATGAACTTCCCATGGTGCACCACAGGAGGGGCGAGCTGGCTTTGCTCCAGAGGGAAAGACCAGTGGCTCTATCTACAGCATCACTCAAGGCCCACTCCATTCCTGGAGGTGCCTCACAAGCGGGCATCGTAACTGGGAAGGTCCAGAGCCCTTGACTGCCTGCACAGAGCACCAACTTCTCTCCCAGCCAAAGTGGTACCTATCCATCTACTCGCACAGTACATGCTTTCGAACTACAAATAGACAAAAGCTGAGGTGAGTGATAAGAATTCACTCTGTCATCTCCAGCATCATTGAGCCACTGCACCTCTTCAGCATGAGAATGAATAGGTATCTGTGTCTCATTTAGATTCATTTTAGAGAGATACTTTTAATTTTAATTACTTTTTTATTTCAAACACTAATTCACCAGTTTCTCTCAAACTGATTTAGGTATTGTTAATGTTTGCGGTCCCTGGAAGACTAATTATTTTCCTCCTTTTGTTTTGTAGGAAGAAAGCTGTTTGTCTTGAAGATGAATTTGACTGTTTTTCAAAGAATTTTCTCCAGAAAAAGAAGAGTGGAATTTAAAAGATTAGCACTGTTTCCCTCACAGGGATTTAGTCACATGAATTTTTCCTGCTGCTTTGACTACTCGGTTTCTCCGTTGCCACCTGGCCATTCTGATACTTAGGCTAATGAATTGTGCCCAAGAACTCAGCAAGGAAGCAGTATTTACTATTGATTGAATCATTTTGCAACTTTTCATAAAATGAACTAATTTGTATCTACTGTAGTATATGAAAATTTATTTGGAAATGTAAAAAGAAAAGTTATATAAAATAAACAAAGAGACCTGTAGTATTTTGTATAAATGTTTACACCAAGAATCAGCTCCTCTTTCTGGCATCCAGGACAAATCTTTGTTCATACCAATCCTATTATCGTATTCTTGTTAACTGCAATTCTCTGTGTGAGGAGCGATGATTTTTTTTTCAAAGACTCTTGTACAAACCAATACATTATTACAGAACGTTGCCAATTTTTAAAAGAGATTTGTAGTGTTTGGATGCAGAGACAATCAGTTCTCCTGATGCCATTCTAGGATTTTCATTTGGCCGAAAGATTAATTAAATCTTCAAAGTGGCATATTTAAAGCTATATATTTTTACTGAGGGCCTTCCTGGCTCAAGTCAGATTGATTTAGTAGAAAAGTCTGGGTGTACTTTCACTACTTCTCAGAATAACCTTTGTTAGGCAGGCAAACCTTTCTCAAAAAAGATCTAGGAAACAAGACTACTGTCATAATTGATAGTGGTGAACAGGATAGTATCTAGCCTTACAAAATTTAACATGCCACTCTGCCACATGCGTATCAGCATTTCAATTCAGGACTGGTATAATGCTCAGATAGCTAAAACTCAGGCACAAGTACAGTCCAAACCATTAATGAATAGTTAAATTTCTTGCAGTTTCTAAACACTGTATTTTTTAAAAAAGATTCCCAGGATTATAGCTGCTTCACATGAGACAAGAGAAAAGGAAATAATATCCAGGTACTATTTACATCCTTCCTTCCTTTACTTTCACAGCTGAAATGTCTTTAAGATTAATGTCAGGGGTTAATGTCTCAAATCAGTTTTGGAAACCCACACATGGCGTTACTGGTCCATTTATTCTTTCTGTGCTGATGGGATGTCATAATGGTTGACCCAACAGAAGGCATTTTTCCTGCTTTTCTCTCTTCTCATGACAATTTTTGGTTGGTACTTTCTACTGCTTTTGAATTACATCATTTATGTGTTAATATATGAAAGACTTTCTTTGCAGCTTAATTGTCATGGAAGTAATTTTAATTAAAGAACACAGTGAAAATTAACTTCAGTTCTTAAAAAATATTGGGTGTTGTGGTGAGGCTCGGTAAGAATTCCTAAGATACAAAGAGCTAGTAACACCATTAGCAGTTTTCTCAAATTTCTGCCTTGTTCAACAAGAGGCAACTCTTGTATTATTCTCTGAATGTTTAATGTGGAATGCTTCTGTTCTTATGTCAGATCAATGCAGTAATTGTAGATGGAACTAGTGACATTTACTGAGATGTTAAACAAAACGACAACTTGAACCATACACAATTAAACTGGTTAAAAAATTGCAGCCATTTTTCCTTCCAGGATTTTAGCATGGAAGAAATTTAAAACAGAGCAAAGAAATTACCGAATAATATCCCTTCTTTCTAGGAAAGTCTCTTTAGCAGGGCATAAAAACATCATACATACATTATTTACATCCTCATATGAGCTTCCAGAAATGTCTTTAAAATGGAAAATGCTCAGTAGACATCTGGTTGGGAATATTAAAACCTCTTACGTTTTCAAGCTTTGCAATTTAAAGATACGTGGATTTCAACTCCCAGAATTTCTCAGCAAAGATGAAAACCATTGTTCTGTTCCAGAGGCGTCTTAACTTTGGGAACGTGTGGACGTCAACTCACAGAATTGCCCAGTCAGCATGACTGGCTGAGGAGTTATGGGAGTTACAAGTCCAGAGTTCTTAAAGTTCCAAAAGATTGGACGCTCCTGCTGTAGTCCTTGTTTCTATTTAAGACATTTTGATTTTGTCTATAAACACATGCCCCACAATTGCATATGTATGGCTGGCTTCCTTTTGGTTCAAGAGCTACAGAACATGCCTTGGAGCCCCAGCGTTGGGCTGGGGCGGGGGGGGGCAGCATGAATTGAGTTTGATTCATTCTGCAGAAGCAAAGGGACACCAGCTTTGTAAGGTGGACAAGAAGTTCAAGGCTACAAGTTGCAATGAAAAATGGAAAAGCATCCTAGAAGGCAGCCGTAGAAAACTACTTCCATATTGTAGCCAAGAAAACGTGAGTGTGTCCATCTGGTCACCAACTCATGGGAGGTGTTAACTGCTAAATTATGACCAAAGAGTGATAAATGGAGTAATGGCTGTAAATAAAATTATTATAATATCTGGAGTTGCAACCTGTAATGTATATTGGATTCCTGTAATTCATTCCAATACACGTTTTTAAAAGGTCACGATTTCCCTAAAATAAGGAAAAGTCACACAAACTCCTCTCAGTGGCATGTTACCTGCCTTTCCCTAATATATGTGGTTAAAACTAGGAACCTGTTTTTGTGTACTGGCTTTGATCCACCATTTTAATACTTTTAAGGCAGTGTTTTCTGAACCATACCCATTTTAAGATGTGTGGACTTCGACTCCCAGAATATCCGTCATCAATGCTGACCAAGATATTCTGGGAGTTGAAATCCACACACTTTAAAATGGCTGTTTGGGAAACACTGTTTTAAGGCAGTCTACTTTATGGGGAACTTCTAAAACTAATATCCATGTGTAGGGATTATAATCAGGATTGTTTTATATTAATTGTTGCAGCAGTACAAAATTGGGGGGGGGGATCTATACACCAAAAATGTTAATTGTATCAAAACGATCACAATTTTGATGACTGCCATATGCTCTGGATGGGGCTGCCCTAGAAGAGCATTTGGGAAGTTCAGCTGGTGGAGAATATGGCTGTGCGGATAGTAAATAATAGCGAATGTAATACCACTACTATGTGAGCTGCATTGGCTACGGATGTGCTTCCAGGTGCAATTTAAGGTTGCTGGTTGTCACTTTTAAAACCTTAAATGATTTGGGACCAGTTACCTGACCGACAATCTTTTTTCCAATTTGTCCAATTAGATTCAAATTCTGTAGATCCCTTCAGCTAGAATGTCAACTGGCAGGAACTAAGCCTTGTTTGCTATAACAGCCCGTTTTGTAGAATATTCTCCCTTCTCAGATTAGAATGGCCGCAGCCCTGTTGGTTACTTTTAAAACTTAGCTATATTTCTGGGCCCGGGCTCAGCATGTTTAAGTTAAGGACTCCATTTCTTGGCATTATTGTTAATTGGTAACTATCTCAGCCGCTGGATTTATTCTTTGGATGCTTTTAATTGTTTTATAGTTTTAGAATGGTAAGCTGCCAAAGTCACTTGGCTGAAATGGGCGGCTATAGAAACTGAATAAATGAGAAAATCTCGAGTCCCAAATGCTTGCAGGAAATGGCTATTTACAGAATACAGCCTGAGGCATACTGCATTAAAGTTCTTCTGGTTATACTAGAAACTTCTTAGCTTCGTTCTATTGCCAGGAATAAGATGGCAACTGGTTAGATTTAGAAGAGGGAAGAACGAATCCCAAAATCATTTAAAGCTAAAAAATGAACTACACCCAAATCCAGTGAGAACATCTCAGTTCTTTCATAAGGCAGAAGATGGGAACAAGGAGGAAGATAAGGATTAGTGAAGGAGAATATTTGTAGCTCAGGGTTGAAATGTGGGCTCCTTGGTACTCTCTAAGCTTGTTTTCTTGTAGACGGTTCCTTGCCCCAATTAGATAATTTCATCAGTGCTAGTAAGGACTGCTGTTTGCTGTCAGTTTATATTCTGGTGCTTATCTGTGTGAGTGGAGGTAAAGTCTGCCTCTGAACACTGTATCAATCACCTTCTGAAATTCTATTTAAAAAAATTAAAAAGAGAAATTCCACCAGTGCAAAATCAGTGGATATACCTGATTGGCAGGCAGAGCATGTACTGTAGTTAATTCTTTCTTCTATTTTGGAAAAAAAATACTTCCTTTTTGTTCTGTGGCAAAAGGCACGTGATGTGTTTAATATACATATCCATTTTTTAAAAAAGTGACCTAAATAATTTAAAAGGAATGGCTGTTGAACAACAATGCCCCATATTTTGAATGAACAGGATTCGTAAAGTCGAATTACAGGGTAATCCTTTAACACCGTAACATCGTTGAAAAGATTTCTTTTTTGCACTTGTTTTCTAGCATGACGTAATATCCAGGTTCTTTGAGAGAATGGGACTTTTTAGATGCAATACGCTGAAGAACAGGCAGACATGAAATCAACTGAACAGGAGAAAGAGAGAACGCCTAGTTAAAAGCACTTGTTTATTGGTTACAATGTTAAAGTCAGGCAACATTTTCCACCGAGACACTGTACAATTACAAAGAAAAGATTCATTCGGGGAAGAACTATAAACAATTCATAGCAAGTGTCCACCCCGTCCCCCTATTAACACTATGAGAAAAAAAAAATGGCACAAATCTCTGTGGGGTTTTGTTGTTTTGTTTAATGAATTTAGTTGAATAGAAAGATTTTAAGATGTTCTGAACATACAATCCAAGAGAGGCAAGTGCAGAATTCACTTGGTACCTGGAAATATTTTGGAGGGTTTTTTTCTTCTTCTTCGAGAGAGAGAAGACGGTAACAAGTGAAGGTTCAGAAATAACCTTACTGCACACTTCCTGGAATAAACTTGTTAACAGCAAAAGCACAAAGACTGTTCATTTATGAAAACGAGCCAGACACAACTAACTCCTTTGGAGGAGGAGGAAGAAGAGGCTGGGATTGACAGAGAGATCTGTTGCAGCAAGAAGGAAACGAGAGAGAGCACCATCCTGTTGTAAAAATAAAGGCCTGAAATATCTTTTAAGAAATCCCCACATTATTTAAAATCAAAGAAAGTCAGGCACATTTTTTTTTCAAAAAAAAAATCTTATTTATTAATCATTGAGTTAACACTGTGAACAGACTCACCAAAACACCACTAAGCATTTAACAGTCTTGCATGTATTTTACACAATCTTTATTTCAACGAAAGGGGGGGAAAAAAAAAATAAGACTTGCAATGCCTCAAATATGGAAGTAGTCTGAGTAGCGCAAGGACCTAATTTTAAAAAAAGGAAAGGGAGGGTGCAAGGATGCATGGGTCCCCCCCCCACACCACAACAGGTCCTGTGTGAGATGGTTTCAGCCACATCTAGAGGGACAGGTATTTTCCCTTCCAGCTGTAGCAAATGCTACTCAGGAGTGTCCCGCCCCCTCCCCCCCCAAATAATGTTCATCAAGGGAGGAACTGCAGTTAAGAAGAGGGCTAGAAGGAAGTCAGAAAAGTTTACGAGAATATCCAACAGCTCAGTTATTCATGCAGGACTTAAGTATTCTAGCTAAGAGGGGAAAAATTGGTTATATACAGATTGGTCAGGTAAGGAGCCCTATTGCAGAGGGAGGCACTATGTGACCTGGCTTGGCTCACTCTTGGATAAAGCCTACAGCACAGGTTTCCAACTGTGGCAACTTTTAAGACCCGTGGACTTCAACTCCTAGAATTCCCCAGCCAGCTATGCTGGCTGGGGAATTCTGGGAGTTGAAGTCCACGGGTCTTAACAGTTGCCGAAGTTAGACATCCCTGGCCTACAGTGCTTTCTGAATCACCAATGGGACTCTGCAGACACCACTTCTTAAGTTAACTGTACAATTCGTCTTTGAGGGCACGGTCCGTTCAAGGGGGCGCTACTTCAATTGGCAATACTACAGCCATTCAATCTGACAACGGCAAGTTCCTTAATCCTAAAGCGTGGTCAGCCCCGGAGACAAAAACTCTCGCAGGAGGCAGGAAAATAAGAGAAGGAACAACAGCAGGAATCAACACCCTCAAGGGTCTTTGCTCCATACACCTTGGCAAATTGGACTTCAACTCCCAGAATTCTCCCGCAATGGCAATGGAATTCTGGGAGTTGAACTCCGTATGCCTGGAAATGGCCACGGTTGGGAAACCCTGCACTGTAGGACAGGAATGGGTGGCCCATAGAGACCAGAAGAGGCAGGAGCAAAGATTTCAGAATGCGGCCTTCACTTTGCAGAGGTGTCAAGCACCCACAGCAGCAAAGCAAACACATGATCGGGTTGATTTTCCCCATTTAGGAGAGTGAAGGAGGAAACTTAAGTACTTTAAGGCTTTGTACTTTTGTTCCTAAACCCCTTCTGGCCAAAAAAAAAAAAAAAGAAGTCTGAAATTTCAGCCCTGCCTCTTCCACAGATGTTAACAGCAGCTATAAATCCTCCAACTCCATGGGAGGGTAGGAAGAGAACTTGCATCTCCAGACCCCACAAGGTTGGCCAATCCCACTGCAGGACATCCATTCAAACTCAATTTCATTTTATGCACTTCCAGGCAAATGTACTTTGGGAAACTGTATTGGGAAATCAGTTTTAATTCTTACAATTTACACTAAGGACTCTTAAGATGCATCCAGCCACGTATTTATGCAAGCTGTTCTGCTTTCTAGGGGAATTATTCCCCAAATCCAATATGCGATTACAAACTATTCCTGATGAAGTAGGATAACCAAAACACTAAAGCAGGAGTGGTGAACCGTGGCAGGTTTAGGATCTGTTTAGGTTTAGGTTGAGGCAGGTTTAGGATCTGACTTCAACTCCCAGAATTCCCCAGCAAGCACGGATGGATGGGGAATTCCAGGAGTTGAAGACCACAGGTCTTAAAGGTTGCCAAGGTTGGACACCCCTGTACTAAAGTAATAAAACTGAGACTGTATGATGGCTCCCAGCTTCTTTGGCAAACGGAACAACTCACTGTTCTGAATATTTTGGGGCTGGGCCTTTTTTCTTACTCTTAAATTTTTCTTACTCATGCAAGGCAATCTTAATGCCCTTACAAAATATATATTGAATACCAAGGAGACAAGTAGTGGACTAAGGGTGAGGTGATCGTAGAATGAAGAGCTGTATTACAACATTAGAAAAAAATAATAAATCCCTTGGGGTGAAATCACATCAGTATCAGATGTGAAAAGAATGAACCATATCAAAGACAGTAAAAAGGTGCAGGTATGTACCCCAAAACGTATAATTTTTTTTTTTAGAAAGAACACTTCTCTCTGGATGTTAACAAAGGATTCATGAACTGTTAAGAGCTTCTACATCCAAAACAATTTGGCACATGCTTTGGCACTTTTGCCACCAGTAAAAAAAAAAAAAAGCCAGAATAGAGGATAAAAAATTGGTCAAAGTTGAGAAAACAAATGGCACTGCAACAAAATATGTTTGAAAAATTTCAAGAACTACCAACCTATGTTCCGACAGTGGAGATCTTAGAAGACATATAACATTGGATGTTTCCTCTACCATCAAATCAGACTATTAATATAGAAATGAACCTACATTTCAGGCCAGTCCATTAACAATCAGATGCACTTCATACCTGCTACAAGTACAGACAGCAAGAAAACTAATTTCCAGGATTTTTCTAAAGCATGTTTTCAGCTACCCATTTGTATATTTATGACAACATAAATAACAACATAAATATGGCCAATTATTAGATGACCTCCCCTCAAAAATTTAAAAAGCCAAAAGCAGGATCCTACAATACTTGTTACTTCAGAGAAGACTGGAGCCATGGCAAGTCACGGGAAGTCTTGCCCAATGGGATCTCTTTTAAGGGAAGAGGAAGACTGGGGAAGGCAAGTTCATTTGTTAATGTTTCCCCGAGACTTAACAAAAAAGACTTAACAAAAACTTTAAAAAGCAGTTCAGTTTCCTGGAATGTCTAGGTGAACGCGCCCCGTTGGTTGGCACAGCAGCTATTAAAATGAGCATTCTGCACTTCTTGTAGTGGGTGATGGGTTTAACTGAAGTTTCAAATAGCTCATTAAAAAAAATTGAAGTGACATATACCAAGGTAGTCTTTCTCAACCTTGGCAACTTTTAAGATGTGTGGATTTCAACTCCCAGAATCCCCCAGTCAGCAAGCTGGCTGGGCAATTCTGGGAACTGAAGTCCACACATCTTAAAAGTTGCCAAGGTTGAACAACAATGTGCTAGTAATACTAATGAAGTATTAAAGAGTCTTCACGCAGTGAATGCAGATTTCAAGAGAAACATTGTGCTGGAGTCTTAAAGAGGCAATAGTAACACTTCCCTGCATATGCAAGATTCATAGGAGAGAAAGCTTTTCTACCTGGAATATATAAAGTAGAATTATAATGTGTGGATGCGCTCAGAATACGCCCCACATACATTTGGAGTGATGCAGTTCAAAGAGAGTACAGGTTCCTTTGCTAGAAATTGGAAGCAGCCCCACATTCAGTCTTAAGCTAGACAAAAAGTTTACAGAAGATGAGAAATAGATCTCAGTTACAATTATTCAGTCCCCACAAAAATACATCCATCAAACACCGTCTCAAGCAAATACGTATCCTTCAATTTCCTGACCCTAATCTCATTAAGAGGCTGTTAGAAGGAAGCTCAAAATCTAAATCCTTAAACATTTCAACATTTATGTTATGCATCTGATCATCTGTTTTAACACTGTGGTGATCAGAGCCCCTTGGCTTCTAATGAATTATCTGGGATCTGCTGCCGCTAAGGGCGAGAAAAAAGTCATCGAGCAAGAAAGAGGCAAAGTGTCCTAAGAGTCGTCAAGGGATTTCCTTTTTTGTTTTTGTTTTGTTTTACACAGACACTCTGTTATAAAATTTCACAAACAGCTCATTAACTTCACACTTTTATCTACAGTAAATTCACGAAGGGGGTGTGTGTGTGTGGAGGGGGGGGGAATTATAACAGCAGACCAGCCGATCCACTGTAGAACTCAGAAGATACATCTTAGGTTAAACGTAGAGCTATATAAATGCAGTTTCTTTTAAAAAAAATGCAAACATTGTTTCCTTTACTTACAGACAAAATGTTACATGATTGGCTGCTATGTGTATATTCAATTATATACAAAAAGGTACAGGACTGGGGCACAAGCAGAAATCCCTTCAGGGCAAATGGAGCCAAACGAAATGCTAACTGACTGGCTTTTTTGTTTTGTGTTTTAGCTTTGCTCACCACAAAGAGGTGTGCCGCCCCCCTCTCTCTCTCTCTGTGTCTCTTTTTCCTTGAAAGAAAAGTCACCGGTTTCTCCCATCTACCACTTCTTCGTTCTTTCTGTGTGTTTGTTTTAATTTCATTTACAGAAAGCCTACTTATGCAATAATCAGCAAGTAGAAAAACTTTCACCTGTAAATTACAAAGTAGAAATGTTATTTTCACAGCAAGAGGCTGCAGCATTGCTCTCTCCAGGTCTCAGTGGAGAAGGTGTGCGTGTCTATTGGTGGAGGGGAGGGGTTCAAACACCAGGTTAATTCCAGATTCTGAGAAAACTGTCCCAAGATCCTGTAGCTACAGCCATGCCATCATCAGTCACTCCTAAGCAGCTGACTCGGTTGTCGTGACCAGCAAGAACACCTGGAAGGATCAAAGGGCACAGCAAAATTAAACCAATGGCCCTCAAAAACAATTCCCATTCACAATTCTCATGTTCTTCAAGATGTTTATATCTGTTTTCAGAAATTTCTCAGCCAAAATGCAGTACAAAATACAGTACAGGGAATGGATTGAAGTACCAAAAAAAAAAAACCCCGCACACACAACCAAAACCCCTACATGAGAACAGTCAATTTCAGTTGTGAAAATCGAGGCAAGAGTGAAACACTTGTATAAATGCGTAACTTTTTTTTCTTAAAAAAAAAAGAAAAGGAAATGTTTCCCCTGTCCAGTCAAGTCCGACTCTTAGGAAGAGGGCTCATTTGCCGTAATCTATATGCAGAGGTACAGGGAATGCGGTGACCTTCCCACTGAAGTGGTACCTATTTATCTACTTGATTTGGCAGGTTTTCAAACTGCTAGGTGGCCCTGACCTGGGGCAAGTAACAGGAGCCTGCCCTCCGCATTGCGCTTGGGTCTTAGACCTGGACTGTCAGCTTTTTTAGAATATGAATTATGATACACCCAGGGGGTGGGGGAAAACCAAGGTCAAGGGTGACAATGAATTATGTGTCTCAGAGTCAGCTAGCTGTCAGGATTCCGGCAGTTACCCCAATTAAATCGTGAGTCTCGAGCCAAATTTCCAAAACCTCAAAGGATTTATTGGGACATGTCCAGCACTATCTGGATGTAGCCGACTCTGACACACATAATTCACTGTCAACCTTGGCCCTGGTTTCCCCCACCCCCTGGGTGTATCATAATTCATATTCTCCAATGAGACACATCCATAGCCAAGAGTCATCAATCATGTTCTCCAGTTAGAATTTTGCGTGGCAGAAACTTCAGGCACCTAGCTACTATCTCTGAAAAACTATGTATGGAATGCACTTTAGATTTCCAAGCTGCCGCACTGCTCTTTCAAACCCCTTTCTGTTGGCATCTCTAAAAAGACCATAGAAATATTTTATGACTTGACATTGGGCACTTTTAACCATTGAACCAACATGTTATCCCCTCTTATTAAAACAAAAAAAAAAGCACTAAAGATGAAAGATGCAAAGCATGCACAAATGAAAAGAGAGTTCCAGAGATGAAGGGCCATGACTGGGTAACTTCTGAGGCATATTTGATCAATCCACTTATACGTAAAAAGACAGTTAAGGCTTTGAAGTCAAAAACCAGGACTCATTCGCTTAACAATGAATTTGTATGGCACGTAACTGGTATCCCAGAGCCATGGTAGCACAGTAGTTAGAATGCAGTACTACAGGCTCCTACTGCTGACCGACTGCAGTTCGATTCTCACCAGGCTCAAGATTGACTCAGCCTTCCATCCTTCCGAGGTGGGTAAAATGAGGACCCAGATTGTTGAGGGCAATAGGCTGACTTTGTAAATCGCTTAGAGAGCACTGTAAAGCGGTATATAGGTGCTACTGATATTGCTATCCCATGGAACGGTTCACAATAGAAAAATGAATGCACTTAAATCTTCTGGCTCCTATTAACCTATTAGCTTTAACTCACCTGCACGTTCACCCTTCAGGGTATCCCAAACATTGCAGTTGAAATCGTCGTAGCCTGCCAAAAAGAGACGCCCACTCTTTGAGAAAGCTACAGAAGTGATCCCGCAGATGATGTTGTCGTGAGAATACAACATGAGCTCCTGGTCTGCACGAAGATCAAAGAGTCGACAAGTAGCATCATCTGAACCAGTAGCAAAGGCATGGCCGCTTGGGAAGAACTGTGAAATGCAACAAGAATATGAAAAATGAAGACAGAGGAGGGAATGGGGAAGGAAGAGAGCAGGGAGAGGGAAAGAGGTTGGCTCTGGAGCCATATGCTAACGTTCAAAGTTCACTTAGTATTAAACTCTCTGTGCTCAAAATAAGATTAGAACAGCATCTTGCATGATATCTGAAGGTTTACATTTGCCTGATTTCTTAATCTACTTACAACATTTGCCAAGTTCTTTATTCTTCATCAGCAAAGCGAGAGAGTTCTCTCAAATAACAGAACAATTAGCCATCTAAAACAGTGTTTCCCAATCTTGGGCACTTGAAGCTATGTGGACTTCAACTCCCAGAATTCCCCAGCCAAAAAGGAATTCTGGGTGTTGAAGTCCACACAGCTTCAAGTGGCCAAACACTGCTCTAAAACTTTAAAAAGAGATCACGTGGATGACACATGATTGAGTTCAGCATTCAGAGACTGGCCTCCCCAGAAATTGCACTCACTTGTAGCTCCGCTAACTCTTCTGCCCAACTAACTATCCCTGAGAAACCCTTGGCCTATGAAAAGTTGGCTTCCACAGATGAAAGGAACGAAAAGGATTTGCACACTTCTGATACACTGATGGAAAATCCCAAACCATTCTAGCAGATGCCGAGAATGAGCTCGCACATACGAAGAAGCATTCATATTCTCATTTATTCACCAGCGCAATGGTCACTTACACAAACGGCATTAATGTCAGACACGTGTCCCATGAATGACTGCCTGCACATCCCATCTCGGATGTCCCAGAGCTTGGAGGAGGCATCGCAGGCACCCGAAACGAAAGTGCTCATGTCTGGGCTTAGAGAGAGACTCATGACATCGCCGGTATGCCCGGTAAAGGCAGTAGTCTGTTGGCCCGTCTCGATATCCCACAGAGCACTGCAAAGTGAAGTAAAAGCATTCGAAATCAGAAGCTCAAATAATTAGCTAGGGGAGCTCATTTAAAATAAAATAAAATAAAAAGAGGTCCCAGGATACTCACCAGGTGGTGTCTCCGGAGCTCGTAACAATTTGGTTATCGTCTAGAAAACGACAGCAGGACAAGTACCCTGAAAAGAGAAACAGTAGCAAAATGGCAGTTTCAGTCTGCAACTCAAATTAAGTCCAGAATTCCGCTTCCTTCCAGCATCTATTAAAAACCTTTTTAATACAGTCCTGAACACTACACATATATCTAAAGCCAGAGGAACAATTTCAAGGTCTGGGGAAAGCTGAGACAGTGAATAGATTGGAAATGGGATGGCATCTAACTCAAACTGATAAAAATAAATAATGCAATAAAATTTATTTTAATTTATATTTATACACATTATAGATATATACACACACACACAAATATATATTATATATAATAAAAATATATAAATATAAAAATATATTAAATTAGTAGTAAATATTAAAATAATAAAATAATAAAATAAAAATAAAATAGTATATATATTAAAATATAAATATTAAATAAAATAAAAAATAAAATAATAAAATAAAATAAATAAAATAATAATATAAATACCTAGCTTCCAGCCGTAAATGTCTATAACATTTACTATGAATTTGCTGGATGCTTAATAATAGAAATTTTTCAATTGTTTGGACAGGACGTAAAAAGTAGCAAGTGCCGTATGTGCAAATATTGCAAAAAACAAAACACCCCCCCCCCATCCACAATAGTTATTTAACACAGAATCAAGGGACCAAATTCTATGTTACAAAATTTATTCCTTATTCTATTTGGGGGAAAAAACCATTCCTTTTAAAAGCAATCCAGAGGAGAAATAATGCATTTCTTTTTTCCCAACTTGACTCTCTTGCTTTTAAAGGGCAAGAAGAAAAAGTGTAAGCGGCATTCTAGTTTTCTAGTTTCATTACAAACGATCAAAGAAACAAAAAGAAAGAGAAGGGCAGCTGACCGGTATGACCGGGGAGTTCTCTGCTCACTCGTACGTTGCCCTCCCTCGTCTTCAGATTGTAGATAGAACAGATGTTGTCTAATCCACCGCAAGCGACATAATTGCCAGATGGTGCATACGCACAGGTCATTACCCAGGAAGACCGCAAAGGAATAGCATGCATCTTTAAAAATAAAATGGAAAAAAAAAAGCACCATGAGGAATTGTCCCCTTTCAAAATCAAATGCAAAACACTGTTGTAGATGATTAACTGATACTATGGGAACAACTCCCATCGTATAGAGAGCAGCAGATATGGGTAGCTCTCAAATTATGACTGTAATGGTCAGGGGTTCCATTGCGGTCGTAAATCAGGCCACTCACAGTTTTTGCAGCAGTTGTTAAGTGAGCACTACAGTTGTAAAGCAAACCAATGGTTTGCTATAGGCTGGCTCTCAAGATTCCGACTGATAGTAACAGCACTTAACACTTATACAGGTGAAACTTGAAAAATTAGAATATCGTGCAAAAGTTCATTTATTTCAGTAATGCAACTTAAAAGGTGAACCTAATATATGAAAAAGACTCATTACATGCAAAGCAAGATAGTTCAAGCCATGATGTGTCATAATTGAGATGATTATGGCTTACAGCTCATGAAAACCCCAAATCCACAATCTCAGAAAATTAGAATATACATGCAATCAATAAAACAAGGGTTGTACATAGAACAATATCGGACCTCTGAAAAGTATAAGCATGCAGATGTACTCAGTACTTGGTTTGGGCCCCTTTTGTAGCAATGACTGCCTCAATGCGGCGTGGCATGGAAGCTATCAGCCTGTGGCACTGCTGAGGTGTTATGGAAGACCAGGATGCTTCAATAGCGGCCTTCAGCTCTTCTGCATTGTTCGGTCTCATGTCTCTCATCTTTCTCTTGGCAATGCCCCATAGATTCTCTATGGGGTTCAGGTCAGGTGAGTTTGCTGGCCAATCAAGCACAGTAATCCCACGGTCACTGAACCAGGTTTTGGTGCTTTTGGCAGTGTGGGCAGGTGCCAAGTCCTGCTGGAAAATGAAGTCAGCATCCCTATAAAGCTCATCTGCGGAAGGAAGCATGAAGTGCTCCAAAATCTCCTGGGAGACAGCTGCGTTGACCCTGGACTTAATGAAGCACAGTGGACCAACACCAGCAGATGACATGGCTCCCCAAATCAACACAGACTGTGGAAACTTCACACTGGACTTCAAGCATCTTGCAGTGTGTGCCTCTCCATTCTTCCTCCAGACTCTGAGTCCTTGGTTTCCAAATGAGATGCAAAAGTTGCTCTCAACAGAAAAGAGGACTTTGGACCACTGAGCAACAGACCCAGTTCTGTTTTTCTTTAGCCCAGGTAAGATGCTTGTGACAGTGTTTGTTGTTCAGGAGCGGCTTGACAAGAGGAATACGACATTTGAAGCCCATGTCCAGGATCAGTTTGTTTGTGGTGGTTCTTGATGCACTGACTCCAGTCTCAGTCCACTCCTTGTGAAAGTCCCCAACACTTTTGAATGGCCCTTTCCTGACAATCCTCTCCAGGCTGCGGTCATCCTTGCTGCTTGTGCACCTTTTTCTTCCATACTTTTCCCTTCCACATAACTTTCTATTAATGTGCTTTGATACAGCACTTTGGGAACACCCAACTTCTTTCGCAATTACCTTTTGAGGCTTTCCCTCCTTATGGAGGGTGTCCATGATGGTTTTCTGCACCAGGTCAGCAGTCTTTCCCATGATTGTGATTCCTACTGAACCAGACTGAGAGACCATTTAAAGGCTCACGAACCCTTTGCAGGTGTTATGGCTTAATTAGCTGATTAGAGTGGGACACTTTGAGCTTAGAATATTGAACCTTTTCACCTTTTAAGTTGCATTACTGAAATAAATGAACTTTTGCACAATATTCTAATTTTTCAAGTTTCACCTATACCGCTTCACAGTGCTTTTACAGCCATCTCTAAGTGGTTTACAGAGTCAGCCTATTACCCACAACAATCTGGGTCCTCATTTTACCCATCTTGGAAGGATGGAAGGCTGAGTCAACCTGGAGCCTGGTGAGATTCAAACGGCCAAATTGCAAGCAGTTTGCAAAAAATGAAGTAAATGCTTGTTTTCTGCAAAACCACAGTAAAAGGCAGTCCCATGATTGCAAGAGACTGCAAACAGCTAAAAACGTGGGCTGGTTGCCAAGTGTCAGACCATCACAACTTCGAATCCAGGTCGTAAGTACCCTTCAAAGGAGAACCAGCATAACTCTGAATGTCGCTAAGTGATTGATTTTTAAATTGAGGACTATCTGTAATTAACTGAACTGTAATTAACTTTCAATAATGTGTGGGCAGCGACATTACAAAATCAATGCAGAACTTTCTTGCAGAAAATCTTGAAGGCTGACACTTTCCTTCAAAAAGTTAATATTCCAGCCCAGTTTTCAGAAGGAGCTTCGATCTGCTCCAAACTAAGCAAATTTATTCTTTTTGTAACAAGTTGTGACAATGGCACTGAACAAATAGTAGAACAGTTTATATACTAGCTGACATTTCAACCACTTTTAAAGAGGACAAACCATACATTTTGCAAATAGCAAACCCTCCAATGGCAAAATCACCTAATTTTTTTAAAACAACGTCCAGTGCTTCCTGATATAAGAATCGTGAATTAACCTCATACTATCCCAGACTCTTCAAATGAGTATAAGAAAAAAAAACTGGTATTATTAGCTAACCACAAATTGTGTCATGAAAATGGCCTCCCTCGCCAGGACTTGTCTCAACTCCATTTAACTTGCCACATCCCAGGTCTCATTTTACTGGCTCTGGCGAGGATTAAAAAGGTGTGTATTTGCATATGAAGTGACAATGAATGGTTCAGTTAAAAATATCGTAGAGATACTAAGGCAGCTGTGGAGAACAACATTTTATTTGCTTTCCCAACGTAACACACCTCAAAGCACTTCGATATACATTTCAACAAACATCCAGCAGTTTGTCTCCCCAAGTGTTTTAGCCAGAATTTTTAAGATTAATGATACAGAATATTCTATGGCATGCTTGAGAAAACAACAGACTTTATACTTCCAAACACAGAAAAAATAATAACAAGACAAGAAATCGTATTAAAACCTGAAAAGCATCAAGAAATAACAGGGCCAATAAAGAGGTTTGGATGGGGGACAGAAAAAAATAAAAGATTAGTAGAATCTAAAAATAAAGCCCATCAGCAAGAGACACATAAAATGTCCAATGAATATGTTTTTAAAAGCCTGTACCTTGTTTGTTGTATAACTATCCCATATAATTAGTTTTCCATCTTGGGAAGCACTCACTAATAACCTAAAGATAATAGTAAAACAAAACGAAGACAAAGACAAGCAAAATATGTATTAATACGTTAACCTTGTATCTTCCTCTTGATGGTTTCAAAATGGAAAGTTCAAAGCCAAATTCCTCTGCATTCTCTAAGACCCCAATTTCCCTTTCTCCAAATTGTGAACCACAAGCAAAAGATATGAGGGCCACCTATTGAAAAGCTAGTTCTTCTATGAAATCCTATCCTATATGCTAGCACAGCATGGGCCCGGTTATCTGAAGAACCGTCTCATCCTGATGGGGTTGGCCTGTCCCACCCAAGCTGGCATAAGGGGCTTGCTGCAGACCCCACTGATCGAGGAATTCAGCTGGCGGGAGTCCAGGAAAAAAGCCTTTTCTGCCATGGCTGCAGGCTGCTGGAGCATCGTGGCATCCCAGGTGAAATCCGCACCCACCCTCTGGGCCTTCTGAAAGGGTCCAAAGATTTGGCTATGCCAACTGGCCTGAGGTCACAACGGGGCTGTGTCAGAGATAAAACCTCACCTCCTCCCCATACGCACCTTCCCACCTTTGTCAATTTTAAACCACTTTTAGTATTCATATTTAGTATTTAGTATTAATGTTTGGTATTAATGTTTCATATTGCTGTTTTTATTGATTGTAAGCCACCTAGAATCGTCCCTAGGCGAGATGGGAAGCACGTAAGTTTTTAACAAACAAATAAGGGTCATATTGGCTTTGAGTCATAATCCAACCGAACTGGAAAACACCAGGTTGAAGCTGCCGGTGTGTAGGATTAAAACCCAGATAAATTGACAATTAAGACAAGATAAATAGGTATATCCTGTTCACTGCAATAGTATGTGTGTGCTTCCTCCTTTTATTTTATTCAGTTATCTGGAAGAAAGGGAAGCAAGTTCAGACTACTTTCCTCTATCACTATTACACTGTTTTGAGGAAAGGAAAAACACTAAGAATTGTATTTATTTATTTTACATTTAAATGAGTAGTTTCCCAGGAAATTACTGAGATAGCTCCATCTACATAACATTTCTGATCTGTTTCCTTATGGGATTCTAAAATATGCAGGAAAGCCCTGAACAATAAAACTTCTCAATATATACAGCTTAATTGTTAAAAATGAGGAACAAATTCTTTCCTATCTGTCTAAAATAAGGAATTATTACTATAAATGTCTAATGTTCAATTTTAAATGCTAATCTTCTAAATACTGTTTTAGTTCAAAAATATGTTACTGTAAATACATATGCGTGTTCTTTTTTTTTTTTTTAATAAAAAGCTATTTTAGGGACAGAAATATATTTATTTTTAAACATTGAAATCTAACGTCTCAGAATGAAACCTGAAATAAAGCAAATCTGTCTTCAAATTACTGGGCTTCAGGAGGTTCTTTAAAGCTTTCAGTATGTTCCCAAGAATCTAAATTTATTTTTGCTCAGAGAATTTTGTTTCCATATTAACAGCCTGATTTTTCCCCCCCAAAGTAACTGTTCATGTGGCCAAGAAGCAAGTAACTCCTAATTTTTTATATATATTTATATATATAAAGTATTCATACAAACCTTGAATCAGATCCCCAATGCATAGCATAAATTTTGGCTAAATGACCTCTCAAGGTACGCCTTGTACGCATCTGGATTCGACCCACAGAGTCAAGACTTGTGGTGATCTGAGAAAGAGGAAGGACAAGAGGCTTTTCAAAACCTTTTGCTGGACCGCATAAGAATATATGACAACTGAGTATAAGAAATAGCTTAATAGTATACAATGCTAAGTCGTTTCTTATATTTGTCATGTAGCATTTCTTTATCTGAAGAGTCTGCTGATGCTAAGCTATGGTACGATAACTTTGGGATTTTGCATAACATACAAACCCATTCTTCATGACCTGGTATAATATTCAAATCTGGCCAATGACACAGATGGCTCCATAAACCATAATTTTAAAAATAGGTCTTAATGTACTCGAATGGAACTAAGCTTGAAGAAATGGTTACAGTCCAAGAAGCCACGACTGCTATTTTCATTTACTGGTTCCTTTTCTCAAGCCCCTTTAAACCATTGTGGAAGCATACTAGCAGGTCTTTAGACTAGAGCCAATGTCGAATAGAGATCAAAAGGTTTTTTTCCTAGCCAAGGAAAAGGGGGCGTAAGACAAGGAACTGCAAACTCCGCACAAGCATTTTAGACGCTGTAACTGTCTTAGGTACTTAGAAAAGCAGAACAGGAAGGAGAAGTAAATGGCAACTCACCTGAGCAAGAGTTGTGTCGCTGCATGCTTTTCTTGCATCCTTTAAAAGAAATTTTAATTTTTTTTTTTACTTTACATAACAATGAAGTTTTGCATTCTTACCAAATTAATGCATTTATTGGGGGGGGGGGCGGGGGGCGGGGAGAGACAGTTTCCTTCGGGCAGGCTACGTCTGGCAAGTAGCAAGCCATTAGGTAAAAGGTTCACATACAGTACACTCCCTGGCTGCAAATAGCTCAAAAAGGATGCACAAGATTTCAGAAGTCAATCCTGAACCCAAAGATCCAACCAATGGGGCTCTCTGAAAGAGGCCCAGCACTGGGGCCTCAAGACTCTTTCATCCAACATCGTAAAGGAAAGGTGGTTACAGAGAAATCTGCGCATATAAAATGTCCCCCTATCTCTTCCCAAAAAGATCTTCCTGGGTTACCACAAAGTAGGTTAGAAAGAGATCTTACTCTGATTTGATTCCGGAGCTGCTCTGCCTCCTGCCGTAATTGTTCCAGTTCACTCATTCTCTTGAATGGGTCTCTTCTCTCCTCTTACAGTACAAGTGATGAGAAATCTGCTGAAAACAATTTACGGAAATCACTTGAATCATGTGCCTGTAATTAACAACATCAACACTTGCAATTTACAGTCATCCCGTCATTATTTCCTTCTCCTCGGGCCTATGTGTTGCCCCCCAGTGTCTGGACTGGCAGCTCCAGGGTTTTCCAAATGTTACAGCATAACTAGGCCTTAATGATAAGCAATGGCAACATTATAAAATATATGGGTTTCAATCATATCAAATGCATTTAATTCACTTAAACACATTTTAATTTAAAAGCTAATTTCAGAATTTTTCTTGGCCCCACCAATTTGTCTTTCCCTCCCCTAGTTTTCTAGTGAGAACCCAGCACATAACAGCTTGAAAAAAAGTCATGCACCCTGATCATCTTATTAAAATACTCTACTATGGAATTACAGAACACATTTAAATGGCTTAAGCTGCGTGTGTGTGTGTGTGTGTGTGTGTGTGTGTGTGTGTGTGTGTGTAGTCTCAGCATCATCCCTGTAAAAAGAAAGCAAATATAGGCCTCAGTTACAATTGGGAGAGGTGGGGAGGGGTAGAAACTTAGATAAACAGAAAATCTTGACTACCTCCATGTTACCTAATTTTAATGCAGTGCAACATTTCAGAAAGCATGAGAATAAAGGGTAATACAAGAAAACAATTTTCTCCTAGTATTTGAAATGTTTTCTGATTTTTTTAAAACGTAAGATAACTAGAAAGATGCCCACCGTGGAGGACTTGATTGATACTTAACAGACCCCTGAGGCATGTCTTAGAGCAGGGATGTCAAATTCATGGCCTCACGTGGCATTTTGTGTCGTTTTTTGCCTTTCCCGAAGCTGGGGTGGGCATGGCCTGTGCATGATGCATCCAGCCTGCGGGCTGCCAGTTTGACACCCCTGTCTTAGAAGTAAGTGAATGAGGAATAATTCCTAGGGTGATCTGTGCATATAGATTTTGCTTACTGACTGCTTGGGTAGCAACCATTCAAAGTTAGGATGGTATTTGAAAAGTAACATTGCGAGCAATGGTCACATTTTACAACCTTCACAGAATCTCTCTCTGTTTACATGATCACTATTAGTTAGTGTGCACATTGTCCTGTGCCCGAACCATTATTTTTTCCCCCCACCTACTGACCCACCGAGTGGAGAGACTGCTTGAACAAGCGATCTCTTCCTGAACTGCTTTTATCCTCAGTGCAGCATTTCCCCAAAAGACGCTAACCTCCAGTTTAAAAGCTCAGAAACTGACAACACAGGCATTGTGGAATGGTCTATAGTGGAGGGTGCACACACAAATTCTATTTGTGTTGGGTGTGAGAAGCTAGTGTTGTACAGGCTGGTATTTTGGAAGTTCAGAGCAGTGTAGCCTCGAGATAGCCTCCAGGAAAATCAAAACAGAGGTGCCTGGCTGCTTGGTGGAGATGGAAACGTGACTGAATTTGTGGGCTTGAAGGTGCTGCTTTTGACTGGAGTTGCAGTAGAGGCTTCAAGCAAACTGCAGGCACATCACTAATCAGCAGTTTAGCACTTTTTATCATGCATTGTGGACTTATTAAAAAAAAAAAAAAAACCAGAGGCAAAGCCATACAATAATGCAAAAGATACTGCAAACTACCATTATGAGGAAATCAGAATGATTTCCATCAGGTTTTATGACCGTTGAGCCAGAAAAGAAATATGGAAAGTTAATATTGTATAAATAATTGTAATAAGATTATTATATGCACAAAGAGTGTAGAGCAATTCAATCACCACAGTGGAAGATTGAATTATAACATTGTCTGAACTTGTGGAAATGGGGAAGTTGACCAGTTTGGTCAGGAGGAAAAAAAAAATGGCTTGTGGAGTTTTATGGACTTTTTCTTGAAATAAGACTGAAGTGACAATTTCTGGATTTGGGCATTAAAAAGGGTCAAAAAAAGGTGATGCCAGTCTATAATGCCTTGGTAACACCACACTTGGCATACTGCATCTAGTTTTGGTCACCAGGATGTAAAAAAGATGTTGGGACTCTAGAAAGAGAGCAGAGAAGCACAAGAAAGGAGATTAGGGGACTGTACACCAAAACAAAGAATTGCTGGAATTGGGTATGTCTAGTCTTATGAACAAAAGGACTAGGAGTGACATGATAGCAGTGTTCCGACATTTCAGGGGCTGCCCCAAAGAAGAGGGAGTCAAGCTATTCTCCAAAGCACCTGAGGGCAGGACAAGAAGCAATAGATGGAAACCAACCAAGGAGAGAAGGCAACCTAGAACTAAGAAGAAATTTCCTGACAGTTAAAACAATTACTCAGTGGAACAACTTGCCTTCAGAAGCTGTGAAAACTCCAACACTGGAAGTTTAATTTAAAATACTAGAAGTCCGGCAAATATACATTAATAGGACTAGTCCTGTATTGCAAGGAACTTTTCACCAATATGTCCCAATTTAACTATGAAATCCAGTCACTCTCCCTTAGCCCAATCCACCTCGCAAGGCTGCTGTTGTGAGGGAAATTGGAAGAGCAAGGTGTGTGGGATAGGTTTGCCACCTTGAACGATTTGCAAAAACAAAAAACATAAATTGCAGCCTGGTAGTACAGTTCTCAAGATCTAGCTTTATCCAAAACTCCTATGCTATTGGCAGCATCATATAAACTCAATTCACTGCTTTTGATCCTACCGCTGCCTTTCCAGCCTCTGTGCCATACCAATGAACCCTACATGGTTCTGCATCTTTGGCCGAATACTGTATTATCCACCCAGAGTCACTAGATACAAGATAGATGGGAAATCAATTTTATAAATACATTTTTTAAAAATATATGCCCACCACTTTGGGCATATTCTCTGAGGTCTACTCCAAATTTGTCCCGCCTCCAACCCTAATCTTTAAGAAATCCATAGCAATGTTGGGGGGGGGGGGGAAGATAAGGTTGCCCTTTGGTTAAACTTCAAACCTGATGATCCAGATATTACGGAGATGAGGGTGCCAGTCCTTTCCTCTGAAATATTTTATGGCTGGAATTGCCCTGGAAACTACTGCAGTATTCTCAAATGATCCCCCATGTATGTATTAAACCTGGTTCTCCTTAAAAGATTGTTAATTTTAATTAGTAACTAGAGAAATGTTAAATGCTCACTAAGCAACTTTGAGCCAGTGGCTTTCTCAGTTCCTCCTCCCTCACAGGATTATTGCAAGGAAAAGTACTTCTTTTGCTTTCTCATTTTAAAAAGGAGTGTACAAATTGTCATATTCCTCACCTTCACAAAAAGGCCACAGAAAAACCAAGGACTAAAATTATTCACATTAAAACAACCATGTTGCTATGATCCGGTACTTGCAATGAAGTTTAAACCAACCTTTGCTTCTGCATAAAGAGATCCAGATTATTTTCCCTCCCAAAACATTCAGAGACATGGCAAGTTATTCTGACATCAGTCATGGCAAATATGCCATATATATAAATATGTTTATAAAATGCTTTTTCAAGTTAAAATACCTAGCCACGTGCATAGAGTTTTTTTACCTATCCGACAATACGTTTTTAAATTCATTTTTTGCTGATCAGCAGAGAACGAGTCTCCTCTTCCCATCTTGGACTACTGAAACAATGGAAGTGCCTGGATAGTCAGGAGAGAGTTTAAGTTCAGAAAGAGCATTTAGAAACTGAGATATTTTTCCCCATGCTATGGAACAAAGGATTCTATCACCTTCCAGCTATTATCAAGACCAAGGGAAATTCTAACATTCATCAATTCTTCAGGTATAATTAAATTTGTAGAAGAATTAGGTTCTTAAGACTCACTCAGTCTTGTCGGTGTCTTAGAATTAGACATCTACAAAAAAAGAGCTTTATTTACAGGTTGCTTGAAGTGCAACGGAACTCCTATCACTTATCATTAACCACAGCCAGCTGTTTTGTTTTAATTCAAAGGATCCGGCTGAAAACATCTAACTAAAAGCTACACACCCTCTTCACTATGAATATTTACCCCTGGTAATAACGATTGCCTACGGCAGATTACAAGTGCCTCAAAGGTTCACGTCACCATTGCTTCTCATTTGGGAAATGTCAAGAGAAATCTTTTGCCGTTTGGCCTTTGTTTCTCCAAAAATAAATACAGGAAACAGGCCTAGGTGTGTCCTTGATCTTTAAGGTTGAAGATATTGTGCATATTTTCAAAGGGCTCTTCAGCACTGGGCCTCCACTGCAGCTACACAACAAAACACAGGAAGCTCTGCCCCAGAAGGCAAGATTCAAACTGGAGCCTGACTCCCAATTCAGCTTCAGTAACTTCAGAGGCCCCCAACGTTTGAGTACAAAACCAAACCTCCCCTTTATAAAAAGAATCCACATTCTCCATAGCTTCCCTTCTTCTACAGCGGGAGAAATTATTATCAACTATAATCACATGGTAAGAGGTTTCAGGCTACCTGGTACCTCGGTACTCATCCTTAACTGGTTCCGGAAGACGCAATGAGTACCAAAAATGATGAATGCCAAGCAAATTTGTCCCATAAGGAATAACACAGTGAGTCACAAAGCAGCCGACATCGACAACTTCTAAGCTTTTGAGTTGAGTTCCAAACAAACGATGAAAACCGGGACAAAATTTTCATGTCAAAATGCGCTGAGTACCAAACTCGATGAGTTTCAAAGCAGTTGAGTACCAAGGCACCCCTGTACAAGTGAATACGATTTTCAAGTAGCCTCTAAATTGCAGATCTAATCATACTCAAGATTGTGAGAATTCAGTGAAACTCCAGATCTTGGCTCAGAAATAGATGACAGTGGCATCTTCTCATAGGGTAGCAATCCCTAAGATACTTCCCAGCTAATTTTGTCTCTCTTGGAAGCCCCCAAGCATTGCTGTCACAGATACAGTGCCAAAAACCACAGCTTTTGGCAAGTTCCTTTCCTACCCTATCCCAAGACATTGTGATAAAGTAAAGTTACCCCTTGGCTCGAAACAATGACATTCCTCTGCCGCAACCATTTTTCATACATGGATTATTCA